TATGCTGTGCAATATATCAGTGTGCCTACTGTTTGAGTGAAAATAAAGTTTGATGTAATTTCAATCCTTAGAGTGCTACAATTTATTTTAACACAGTTCATAATTCATAGTAAGCTCATACTGTACATAAATAACACTCGATTAATTAATTGTTTTGAGGAAACTAAACAAATGGCTTCAACAAGAAGATTGCGTGTTTAATCTTAACAGGTATTAAAAAGTAAAATACAAAAGCAGCCCACACAATTACATCACTATGAAAATATTCATATATAATATTTAAAAATACAATGCACGCAGTATTTGTTGTGTTTATCTGTATTTAATGAACAACATGGCTGGGTGTTGGTAGACAGGGACACAGGGCAAGATTCTAAACCTCACTGATCAGTGGACTCTTCAGGTTAACTAGGCCAGCACAGATGGTTAAGATGTTGTCCAGTTTCGGTGCCATGCTGATGGGAACATTCTGGGATAAAATCTTAAACACCTTCAGTCTCTGGATTGCTCTTTCCACATGTATGCGGACATTGGCTACCCATTGGGTCTGGGCATCTCGAAATGTTGGTGTAGCAGGCTCGGCCTCACAGACAGGCTGACAGGTTTCTGGAGCATCTAAAAAGGGGAAGAGAAAACATGGATGGAGCAAAATTAATGCAGGCATAGAGTCCTCTCACTACAAACATCACAATGGAAAAATGTGTACTACAACATTGCACTCACACGCACACACACAATCATCATCACAACAGCCTGCCACCTTGCATTGTATTTATGATGTAGACTAAGGCACACGCAGGCAGGCACACACACACACACACACACACACACACAATTAATGATGTAGCTATCGTGGGCATTGTTTGTCCCATCTCCAAAACAATCAACTGCCTTAGCAAAATACCGGTAGCAATGTTAATGTATGACAACTTCTTCATAATTAACAGTATTGTCAGCTTCATAGCTAAAGTTGCTGAACTTACCCTCAGATTCAAGTCTGCGTTTCTTTATCTGGGAGGAGGCAGTGGTCCGCTGGGTGAGTTGACGCCTATTTGGCTGGGGAGGGCGATTGTATCCCAACCACAACTCTGGGAAAGGATTATCCTTGGTAGGTTTTTGGTCAACAAAGTGATAGGAACAAACAAAAACGTTGAGGGGTGGTTTCTTTAGATTCAATGCCTTCAGCCAGGTCCTTGATTCCGAGTCGGTATCAGGCTTGCGAAAAAATGTAAACAATGGAGCGCATGGACATTGCCTCTTTGTAGCTGGTTTGTGGTCGTAGCACTCTCTATCTAACCACTCGTTCAGGTGCTTTCTCGAGTTTTTGCAACCAACTACCGCACACGTCGTTCCCGAACCACTTTTCTTCATGTTGTAATTGTAATTTTTATATCCTCTTTGTCACTGCGATATCAGTGCTTTGTCGGCACAACGGAGCTAGCTAGCAAAACAAACCCAGCCCGGCAGAACGGAACTGGATTGCATCGACGGGAGGAGTTCAGGAAGTAGAGCGGAAACGGCTCAAAAACTTGTCTATAGGCTACTGTATATCCCCCCATAATTTCTATTTTTTTTCTCTCAACACTTCCGGGTATACGGCCCTGGTTTTCAAGAATAGTTCAAATGTTTTCCTTTTTACATATTATTTCGCCGATACATGCTGATATGCAGATATTCTATTTATTCATAATTTCCCTTTTTTAACGGATGGTGCAACAAAACCGCCGGCGGAGGTTGTAGATCCCGAATATGGTGAGTTGAGAGTAGCCTAACTCGATTTTCCGTTTAACAAATGTTATTTATTTATGATAATTCTCGAGATGGGAATGTCCACAAACAAAGCACACACTTGCCCAGCTGCCAAATAATACATATAAAAAAAGTAGTCGGAAGTTTACATACACCTTAGCCAAATACATTTAAACTCAGTTTTTCACAATTCCTGACATTTAATCCTAGTAAGAATTCCCTGTTTTAGATCAGTTAGGATCACCACTTTATTTTAAGAATGTGAAATGTCAGAATAATAGTAGAGAGAATGATTGATTTCAGCTTTTATTTATTTTCATCACATTCCCAGTGGGTCAGAAGTTTACATACACTCAATTAGTATTTGGTAGCATTGCCTTTAAATTGTTTAACTTGGGTCAAACGTTTCGGGTAGCCTTCCACAAGCTTCCCACAATAAGTTGGGTGAATTTTGGCCCATTCCTCCTGACAGAGCTGGTGTAACTGAGGCAGGTTTGTAGGCCTCCTTGCTCGCACATGGTCATTGTCCATTTGGAAGACCCATTTGCGACCAAGCTTGAACTTCCTGACTGATGTCTTGAGATGTTGCTTCAATATATCCACATCATTTTCCTTCCTCATGATGCCATCTATTTTGTGAAGTGCACCAGTCCCTCCTGCAGCAAAGCACCCCCACAGCATGATGCTGCCACCCCCGTTCTTCACGGTTGGGATGGTGTTCTTCGGCTTGCAAGCGTCCCCCTTTTTCCTCCAAACATAACGATGGTCATTATGGCCAAACAGTTCTATTTTTGTTTCATCAGACCAGAGGACATTTCTCCAAAAAGTACGATCTTTGTCCCCATGTGCAGTTGCAAACCGTAGTCTGGCTTTTTTATGGCGGTTTTGGAGCAGTGGCTTCTTCCTTGCTGAGCAGCCTTTCAGGTTATGTCGATATAGGACTCGTCTTAATGTGGATATAGATACTTTTGTACCTGTTTCCTCCAGCATCTTCACAAGGTCCTTTGCTGTTGTTCTGGGATTGATTTGCACTTTTTGCACCAAAGTACGTTCATCTCTAGGAGACAGAATGCGTCTCCTTCCTGAGCGGTATGACGGCTGCGTGGTCCCATGGTGTTTATACTTGCGTACTATTGTTTTTACAGATGAACGTGGTACCTTCAGGTGTTTGGAAATTGCTCCCAAGGATGAACCAGACTTGTGGATTTCTTTTGATTTTCCCATGATGCCAGGCAAAGAGGCACTGAGTTTGAAGGTAGGCCTTGAAATACATCCACAGGTACACCTCCAATTGACTCAAATGATGTAAATTAGCCTATCAGAAGCTTCTAAAGCCATGACATCATTTTCTGGAATTTTCCAAGCTGTTTAAACGCACAGTCAACTTAGTGTATGTAAACTTCTGACCCACTGGAATTGTGATACAATGAATTATAAGTGAAATAATCTGTCTGTAAACAATTGTTGGAAAAATTACTTGTGTCATGCACAAAGTAGATGTCCTAACAGACTTGCCAAAACTATACTTTGTTAACAATACTTTTGTGGAGTGGTTGAAAACAAGTTTTAATGACTCCAACCTAAGTGTATGTAAACTTCCGACTTCAACTGTATGTCAGACTTTTTTCATATGGTGTCCCGAACACATAACATGTCTATTATTGTACAGGCAAATGTAGCAATCATGGGCATGGCAGCATGGCATGGCAGCATGGCATGGGAGCATATTATGATAGTAGAACCAATAACAGTGGGTTAACCATCTTTATTATTTGGCATATAGCTGTTTCTCAAAACATTGGGTTAGCTGGCACTGAGAGTTATGAGAAAACTGTTCTGAGATAAAATATAATAAAACTGAATAGTTTTAGGTTGAATATGATAGAATAGGTTGGTATATGAACGTTCTTGTGTCAGTGCAATTCAGTGAGGAAAAATGTGTTCTGTACTTTTCTGTTCTGTTATTCCTCTGCCTTTCAGACTTCCTCAGTTCCATGCTCTCAGACTTAGAGGTGCTGCCCCTCGCCAGTCTCCAGACTCACTCGGTTTGGCGGCGGGACGTCCAGACACCATGTTGAACGACATCTCAGCTTCACTGCCTTACAGAGGTAGGAACTCCAAGGCTGTGTTCAAAAGTAGTGCACTATATAGGGAATAGGGTGCTATTTGGGATGCACATCAAATGTCAATGCCTCAGTTGCACTAGTCGCTTGTCTTATTCATCATGAGCATTGTGATTTACATTCACCCTGTCTCTTCTTGTGTGTGTGCTAGGCATTTCAAGCTGTATCTGAGGACCAACACGGAGCTGTTCACAGAGGAATTCAGGGCCATGTTCGTGGATGAGGATGGATAGGAGGACAGATACGAGGTCAACAGACAGAACTTTTTCATTGGCCATGTCATTGGTAAGACAGACACAACTGGTTGGACTGTGTTGGACTCAGAAACAATCAGACTTAGGTCACATACATTGTCAAGGGGCCTTTAAGTGGATTCATTTGAGATTGAGGCATATAGCTGAATCTACAGGTAGCCTGAGATATGGACTCATCAACTTTACACCACTTTTGAGTTCTGAAAACATCTGGCTAACATCTGATTTTGGAGTGAACTATCACTTTAACGTCTCTTCATGCCTCAAGAATTTGGTTTGGCTTTGTTCCATGTTTATATTTTGTGCTCTTTTTCAGTAAAGTTGTTTACTCAGTGTTGTTCATTTGAAGTGGAGGAGAACTCCAGAGTGTAAGCGCACATCGATGACAACGACTTCTTGGCACACATCCTCACTGACAAAGCGGAGTACAACATAGAGTTATCATATTATACTATTTCAACAACGGATTATGATACGAAACCAATATGACAATCTACTGAAATGCCTCAGTGTGATGGATATACTGCATATAAACTACTGGAGTTTATAGGGTGCCTCCCAAATGGCACCCTATTCCATACTGCACTACTTTGGACCAGGATCCACAAGGCTCTAGTCAAAAGTAGTTCACTTTCCCCTACATAGTGCACACCTTTTGGCCCTATGGACCCTGGTCAAAAGTAGTAAATACTGAATAGTGTGCCATTTGAGACACACAGCCTTTATCCTTATCAAACCTCCTAACAAATCAAATCTCTTTCCCTCCTCAGCCCCTATGGAGGTTCACGGCGGCGCCCCCCGATGGCCGTCTGCTGGTATACCGCTCTGAGGACATCAGGAACATCAGCCGACTGGCCTCGCCCAAAGTCTGTGGCTACGTGAAGACTGACTCTAATGACCTACTGCCTGAGAGCATGAGGTCAGCTAGACTGGAGGAAGAGGAGGAGGGGTGAGGAGGAGGAGGAGTGTGATGAGGGAGTGAAAGGAGTAGGGTGAGAAGGAGGAGGAAGAGGGAGAGGGTGAGTAGGGGAGGAGGAGAAGGGAGAGGGTGAGTAGGAAACACCGACCTCAGACCTCCCCTGTGTCCTCTGTGCTTTCCCAAATGAATAATTACAGTAAAATCCTGTCCCTCATAACTCTTAAGTCCAAACCACATGTAGACTAGGGACCACTCAAACTAACGCAACCCTTATATGTGCTATTGTAATATGATTGAATTACAATAAAACTAAACATATTCACATATGAGGCTATCCACCAGCCCAGGCAGTCAAACTCAGGCCACATTGTCAGTGTCTGTTAAATTAATCATCATCTCCTCATTGCGTTAATCCATTATTCATGCTAGGTTAAATATGAGGCAGCTGTAATGGCAGACCGATGATGATGACGACATAACTGCAGAGAACATGGCTATGGTGTTTGAACCAAATAACTCTTGAGGGGAAGCACTCATTAATCTCAGCTGCTGCTGTTAATGTCTAATAGCAATATTTGTTACATTGACAGCTTGGATCTGCCCAAGGCTCTATTTATGGCAGTGCAGTGTAGAAAAGAAAAGTGCAGTGTAGTTCAGCTTGACAATGTCTCAATGGCTTTCACTCAACAATTAAACGTTACCTGACCTTGGTCCTCCAGAGTGCTGATGCAAGTCTCCTCCCCTCATCTCCCTTCCTCTCCTCTCCTCCACAGAGCCCCTGGTCAGAGAGAAGAGACAGGTCCATGGCCACAAGAAGAACACCTGTCCTTTACTGCTAGCGGCTGACCATCACTTCTTCCGAGAGATGGGCCGCAGCGAGGAGAGCACTACCCTCAACTACCTGGTGGGGGCGCTGTTCAGTCAGATGTTACGGGTACGTCCCAAATGGCACCCTATTCCCTATGTACAGCACTACTTTTGACCAGGGCCCATAGGGTTCTGATCAAAAGTACTGCACTATAGGGAATAGTGAGCCATTTGGGACGCGACCCAATGTCGTGTGGGGTAGTCTTTGGCTTGATGGTTGCATGTGAAAAACACCATTTACATTCTCACTGATGTGATTGGTCGGGCAGATTGAGCTGATTGACCGTGTGGATGACATCTATAGGACGACGTGGTGGGATGATGACTTCTGATAACCAGGTGGCGAATCGCATCTCTGCATGTCTGGCCGACATATCAGTATGGATGACGGATCACCACCTCAAGCTGAACCCTGGCAAGACGGAGCTGCTCTTCCTCCCGGGGAAGGACTGCCCGTTCCATGATCTCGCCATCACGGTTGACAACTCCGTTGTGTCCTCCTCCCAGAGTGCGAAGAGCCTTGGCGTGACCCTGGACAACACCCTGTCGTTCTCCGCTAACATCAAGGCGGTGACCCGATCCTGCAGGTTCATGCTCTACAACATTCGGAGAGTACGACCCTGCCTTACACAGGAAGCGGCACAGGTCCTAATCCAGGCACTTGTCATCTCCCGTCTGGATTACTGCAACTCGCTGTTGGCTGGGCTCCCTGCCTGTGCCATTAAACCCCTACAACTCATCCAGAATGCCGCAGCCCGTCTGGTGTTCAACCTTCCCAAGTTCTCTCACGTCACCCCCCACCTCCGCACACTCCACTGGCTTCCAGTTGAGGCTCGCATCCGTTACAAGACCATGGTGCTTGCCTATGGAGCAGTGAGGGGAACGGCACCTCCGTACCTTCGGGCTCTGATCAGTCCCTACACCCAAACGAGGGCATTGCGTTCATCCACCTCTGGCCTGCTGGCTCCCCTTCCTCTGCGGAAGCATAGTTCCCGCTCAGCCCAGTCAAAACTGTTCGCTGCTCTGGCACCCCAATGGTGGAACAAGCTCCCTCACGACGCCAGGACGGCGGAGTCACTCACCACCTTCCGGAGACATTTGAAACCCCACCTCTTTAAGGAACACCTGGGATAGGATAAAGTAATCCTTCCACCCCCCCCCCCCAAAAAAAAACAAAAAAAAAAGTATAATTGTAAAGTGGTTATCCCACTGGCTATAGGGTGAATGCACCAATTTGTAGTCGCTCTGGATAAGAGCGTCTGCTAAATGACGTAAATGTGCCCTTGAGCAAGGCACTTAACCCTAATTGCTCCTGTAAGTCGCTCTGGATAAGAGCGTCTGCTAAATGACTAAAATGTAAATGTAAATGTAATGAAGGATAAGGTGTTCAGATCCAACAGGTGAGCTAGCTGCAACAGGCTGATGAACCAGGATAGGTTACACCTCTTAGATGATCATTGTATTTTTTCCCTTGTTTTCTTAAGGAGAATCGTTCTCCTTCCGTATTTTCACTTGATTTGACAGTTTGTAATGTAGATTAATCAAATCAAAGTTTATTGGTCGCGTACACAAATTTGCAGATGTTATCGCAGGTGCAGCAAAATGCTAATGTTTCTAGCTGCAACAGTGCAGTAATATCTAGCAAGATAATAACAATACACACATAATCCCCCCCCAAAATTAATCAATTAGATCAGAACGAGCAATGTCAGAACGAGTCCGGAATATACACTACATGACCAAAAGTATGTGGACACCTGCTCGTCGAACATCTCATTCCCTGTAGCTCAGTTGGTAGAGCATGGCGCTTGCAACGCCAGGGTTGTGGGTTCGTTTCCCACGGGGCGCCAGTATGAAAATGTATGCTCTCACTAAACTGTAAGTCGCTCTGGATAAGAGCGTCTGCTAAATGACTAAAATGTAAATGTAAAATTCCAAAATATGGAGTTGGTCCCCCCTTTGCTGCTATAACAACCTCCACTCTTCTGGGAAGGCTTTCCACTAGATGTTGGAACATTGCTCCGGGGACTTCCATTCAGCCACAAGAGCATTAGTGAGGTCGAGCACTGATGTTAGGCGATTAGGCCTGGCTCGCAGTCGTGGTTCCAATTCATCCCAAAGGTGTTCGATGGGGTTGAGGGCTCTGTGCAGGCCAGTCAAGTTAAGTTCTTCCACACTGATCTCGACAAACCATTTCTGTATGGACCTCGCTTTCTGCACGGGGACATTGTCATGCTGAAACAAGAAAGGGCCTTCCCAAAACTGTTGTCACAAAGTTGGAAGCACAGAATCGTCTAGAATGTCATTGTATGGTGTAGAGTTAAGATTGATCTTCACTGGAACTAAGGGGCCTAGCCCCAGACCATTATTCCTCCTCCTCCAAACTTAACAGTTGGCACTATGCATTCGGGCAGGTAGTGTTTTCCTGGCATCCGCCAAACCCAGATTAGTCCGTCGGACTGCCAGATGGTGAAGCGTGATTCATCACTCCAGAGAACGCGTTTCCACTGCTCCAGAGTCCAATGGCGGCAAGCTTTACGCCACTCCAGCCAACATTTGGCATTGCGCATGGTGATCTTAGGCTTGTGTGCGGCTGCTAAGCCATGGAAACCCATTTCATGAAGCTCCCGACGAACAGTTCTTGTGCTGATGTTGTTTCCAGAGGCAGTTTGGAACTCTGTAGTGAATGTTGCAACCGAGGACAGACATTCTTTACGCGCTTAAGCACTCTGCGGTCCCGTTCTGTGAGCTTGTGTGGCCTACCAATTCGCAGCTGAGCCGTTGTTGCTCCTAGATGTTTCCACTTCACAATAACAGCACTTACAGTTGACCAGGGCAGCTCTAGCAGGGCAGAAATTTGACGAACTGACTTGTTGGAAACTCTTCAGTAAGGCCTTTTTCTTTTTTTTCACCTTTATTTAACCAGGTAAGCCAGTTGAGAACAAGTTCTCATTTACAACTGCGACCTGGCCAAGATAAAGCAAAGCAGTGTGATAAAAACAACAACACAGAGTTACATATGGGGTAAACAAAACATAAAGTCAAAAATACAACAGAAAATATATATACAGTGTGTGCGAATGTAGTAAGTTATGGAGGTAAGGCAATAAATAGGCCATAGTGCAAAATAGTTACAATTTCGTATTAACACTGGAATGATAGATGTGCAAAAGATGATGTACAAATAGAGATACTGGGGTGCAAAATAAATAACAATATGGGGATGAGGTAGTTGGGTGGGCTAATTTCAGAATGGCTATGTACAGGTGCAGTGATCGGTAAGCTGCTCTGAATACTGACGCTTAAAGTTAGTGAGGGAGATAAGTGTCTCCAGCTTCAGAGATTTTTGCAGTTCGTTCCAGTCATTGGCAGCAGAGAACTGGAAGGAATGGCGGCCAAAGGAGGTATTGGCTTTGGGGATGACCAGTGAGATATCCCTGCTGGAGCGCAGACTACTGCCAACATGGCTGTGTGCTCGATTTTATACAACTTTCAGCAACGGGTTTGGCTGAAATAGCCGAATCCACTAATTTGAAGGGGAGTCCACATACGTTTGTCTATGCCGTGCATTCGGAAAGTATTCAGACCCCTAGAATTTTTCCACATTTTGTTACGTTACAGCCTTATTCTAAAATTGATTCAATTGTTTTTCCCCTCATCAATCTACACACAATACCCCATAATGACAAAGCAAAAACAGTTTTTGTTTTGTTTAATTTAGCTAATTTATAAAAAATAAATAAAACGTAAATATCACATTTACATAAGTATTCAGACCCTTTACTCAGTACTTTGTTGAAGCACCTTTGGCAGCGATTACAGCCTCAAGTATTCTTAGGTATGACGCTACAAGCTTGGCACACCTGTATTTGGGGAGTTTCTCCCATTCTTCTCTGCAGATCCTCTCAAGCTCTGTCAGGTTGGATGGGGAGCGTCACTGCACAACTATTTTCAGGTCTCTCCAGAGATGTTCGATCGAGTTCAAGTCCGGGCTCTGGCTGGGCCACTCAAGGACATTCAGAGACTTGTCCTGAAGCCACTTCTGCGTTGTCATGGCTGTGTGCTTAGGGTCGTTGTCCTGTTGGAGGGTAAACCTTCGCCCCAGTCTGAGAACCTGCTCCAGAGCGCTCAGGACTTCATCAAGGATCTCTCTGTACTTTGCTCCGTTCATCTTTCCCTCAATCCTGACTAGTCTCCCAGTCCCTGCCGCTGATAAACATCCCCACAGCATGATGCTTCCACCACTATCCCTCACTGCTTTCCTCCAGATGTGACACTTGGCATTCAGGCCAAAGAGTTTAATCTTGGTTTCATCAGACCAGAGAATCTTGTTTCTACCATAAAGGCCTGATTGGTGGAGTGCTGCAGAGATGATTGTCTTTCTGGAAGGTTCTCCCATCTCCACAGAGGAACTCTGGAGCTCTGTCAGAGTGAACATCGGGTTCTTGGTCACCTCCCTGACCAAGGCCCTTCTCCCCCGATTTCTCAGTTTGGCCGGGCGGCCAGCTCTAGGAAGAGTGTTGGTGGTTCCAAACATCTTTCATTTAAGAATGATGGAGGCCACTGTGGTTTTGGGGACCTTCAATGCTGCCAAAATGTTTTGGTACCCTTCCCCAGATCTGTGCCTCGACACAATCCTGTCTCGGAGCTCTACGGACAGTTCCTTCGACCTCATGGCTTGGTTTTTGCTCTGACATGCACTGCCAAGAGTGTGCAAAGCTGTCATCAAGGCAAAGGGTGGCTAATTTGAAGAATATAAAATATTAAATATATTTTGATTTGTTTAACACTTTTTTGGTTACTACATGATTCCATATGTGTTATTTCATAGTTTTGATGTCTTCACTATTATTCTACAATGTAGAAAATAGTAAAATAAAGAAAAACCCTTGAATGAGTAGGTGTGTCCAAACTTTTGAGTGGTACTGTATATAAATGGTGTGTATAGACAGTATGGACAGGATATGATTGGAAAAGGTGTGTACAGCAGTAGTTATATAGAATGAGCCATGACTCGAAAACAGCATATACATATAAAGTGGGTAAAACAGTATGTAAACATTATTAAAGTGACCAGTGTTCAATGACTCTATGTACATAGGACAACAGTCTCTAAGGTGCAGGGTAGAGTAGGAATGTAGATGAGGAGGGAAGAAAGTGGATGGGGTAGGATTCCAGCCCATGTCCCTCCTGGACAATGTGTGCTCGGTGGACTGCAGCACTACTGCGGTGCCATGCTGCCGGAACAGATGATCACTGTCTTTCCCATGAGGTGTGATTAATGATAGATGGTTCTTCCTTAGAAAAATGAGAAAGATATGCACATCCAACAGGTGCAGGACAGAAGAACGTATCAAATAACAAAGGAATATCCGCAACTCTGGTACGCTCCCATGGTGATTTAATCAGACACACAATAAAGAGAACGTTTCGATCCGAGTTGGATCTTCGTCAGGTCATACACCACTGTTGGTTCTTCCTTCCCATCATTTTCAATCTCTAATATTCATATGAAGATCATCATTGAGAAGCACCCCACTCGCGTATCTCCAGGGGGCGCCCACTTCAACATGAAGGTATGTCCCGTGGAGGGCAAGGATGTCTGGGACGAAAATAAGCTTTTGGTGAGCAGTATGTTTAACCATCTGAATTATTCATAATAATCATCCAAAAACCAGTGTAAAAAACTGCACTCTAGAGATGACAGATGACTGTTCTTGACTTAAGTTATATTTTTATTTTTCATTGCAGAGTGCATAGTCATAATAATCATGTTATAATAATAGGCTATAATACTAGTTTCTGATTGGCTTGAAGGGCATTCTAGAGCGTGCATTATTTCCCTATAACGCACAGTATATTTTGCACAGTAGAATTTAATAGCTACAGTGCATTCGGAAAGTATTCAGACCCCTTGACTTTTTCCACATTTTGTTACGTTACAGCCTTATTTGAAAATTGATTAAATTAATTTGTTTCATCATCAATCTACACACAATACCCCATAATGACAAAGCGAAAACAGGTTTGTACAATTTTTTGTAAATGTATTAAAAATTAAAAACAGAAATATATTTATTTACATTAGTATTCAGACCCTTTGCTATCAGACTCGAATTGAGCTCAGGTGCATCCTGTTTCCATTTATCATCCTTGAGATGTTTCTACAACTTGATTGGAGTCCACCTGTGGTAAATTCAATTGGACATGATTTGGAAAGGCACACACTTGAGTGAGGGAAAAAAGTATTTGATCCCCTGCTGATTTTGTACATTTGCCCACTGACAAAGAAATGATCAGTCTATAATTTTAATGGTAGGTTTATTTGAACAGTGAGAGACAGAATAACAACAAAATAATCCAGAAAAACGCATGTAAAAAATGTTATAAATTGATTTGCATTTTAATGAGGGAAATAAGTATTTGACCCCCTCTCAATCAGAAAGATTTCTGGCTCCCAGGTGTCTTTTATACAGGTAATGAGCTGAGATTAGGAGCACACTCTTAAAGGGAGTGCTCCTAATCTCAGCTTGTTACCTGTATAAAAGACACCTGTCCACAGAAGCAAACAATCAATCAGATTCCAAACTCTCCACCATGGCCAAGACCAAAGAGCTCTCCAAGGATGTCAGGGACAAGATTGTAGACCCACACAAGGCTGGAATGGGCTACAAGACCATCGCCAAGCAGCTTGGTGAGAAGGTGACAACAGTTGGTGCGATTATTTGCAAATGGAAGAAACACAAAAGAACTGTCAATCTCCCTCGGCCTGGGGCTCCATGCAAGATCTCACCTCGTGGAGTTGCAATGATCATGAGAACGGTGAGGAATCAGCCCAGAACTACACGGGAGGATCTTGTCAATGATCTCAAGGCAGCTGGGACCATAGTCACCAAGAAAACAATTGGTAACACACTACGCCGTGAAGGATTGAAATCCTGCAGCGCCCGCAAGGTCCCCCTGCTCAAGAAAGCACATATACAGGGCCGTCTGAAGTTTGCCAATGAACATCTCAATAATTCAGAGGAGAACTGGGTGAAAGTGTTGTGGTCAGATGAGACCAAAATGGAGCTCTTTGGCATCAACTCAACTCGCCGTGTTTGGAGGAGGAGGAATGCTGCCTATGACCCCAAGAACACCCTCCCCACCGTCAAACATGGAGGTGGAAACATTATACTTAGGGGGTGTTTTTCTGCTAAGGGGACAGGACAACTTCACCGCATCAAAGGGACGATGGACGGGGCCATGTACCGTCAAATCTTGGGTGAGAACCTACTTCCCTCAGCCAGGGTATTGAAAATGGGTCGTGGATGGGTATTCCAGCATGACAATGACCCAAAACACACGGCCAAGGCAACAAAGGAGTGGCTCAAGAAGAAGCACATTAAGGTCCTGGAGTGGCCTAGCCAATCTCCAGACCTTAATCCCATAGAAAATCTGTGGAGGGAGCTGAAGGTTCGAGTTGCCAAACGTCAGCCTCGAAACCTTAATGATTTGGAGAAGATCTGCATAGAGGAGTGGGACAAAATCCCTCCTGAGATGTGTGCAAACCTGGTGGCCAACTACAAGAAACGTCTGACCTCTGTGATTGCCAACAAGGGTTTTGCCACCAAGTACTAAGTCATGTTTTGCAGAGGGGTCAAATACTTATTTCCCTCATTAAAATGCAAATCAATTTATAAAATTTTTGACATGTGTTTTTCTGGATTTTTTTGTTGTTATTCGGTCTCTCACTGTTCAAATAAACCTACCATTAAAATTATAGACTGATCATGTCTTTGTCAGTGGGCAAACGTACAAAATCAGCAGGGGATCAAATACTTTTTTCCCCTCACTGTAGAGTGGGAGAGGATGCTCACTCAGTCAGCACTGAAGGGCAGACCGCAAAGTAGAACAAGCAGGACTTGTGTAGGACAGAATATGTGGGCTGACAGTTATATAATGTATTATATGGAGTTGGAGAGCAGCTTCAGTTGAAAATAGGAATTCAGTTGAAAGTACCCACAGAGCTAAAATTAAACCTATTAAGCATTGAAAAGCCATATTCTTATAAACAGAAATGATAAATCAACATGGTTTATTCTATGAAAGATTGACAATCAATTCTAGAATTTTCTGTATGAATTGTAGTGCCTGACTAATAACAAATCGCAAACTGTTGCTGCGATGACCAGGTCATATTGATGTGTTTTTGAACATATACAGACCTGTACAGCCTGGCATATCAACATGCTATAAATCCCCCATTAATAGAATATGTTTCTAAACACTTCTACATGAATGTGGATGCTACCATGATTTGGGGGGGGGGGGGGGGGGGGTCAGTTGACCTGCCCTGGGTTGTGTTCATTAGGGCAGGGTTTCACAAACTTGGTCCTGGGGCCCCCCCCGAGTGCACGTTTTGGTTTTTGCCCCAGCACTACACAGCTGATTCAAATAATAGCTTGATAATGAGTTGGTTATTTGAATCAGCTGTGTAGTGCTAGGGAAAAAACAAAACGTGGGGGCCCAGGACCGAGTTTGGGAAAACCTGCATTACGGAACCCCCTCCCTCCTGAACATTTCTTATTGGGCAAGAAGCACACAAAAAAAAGTATGTTCTTGTTTCCTGCCTTTTGATCACGACCCTATTCTATCTTTCCCCACACGGTGCATGCATACTGCATAAGCTAATGAACATAACCTTGTCTGTGGTATTTTCTTTGTTGTTTCATTGTGATCTGCTAGCGACGTTATCTCACCGACGTGTTATGCTTTTATTTTGTTTACATTGTACTTCTCCCAAAATCCCCCTGATATTTCTGAATTTCTTTGTGATTATTTTATGGTCTCACATCTTTGATCTGGATGAAAGAATGCCCCATAAGCCTCCTACATCAACCATATCGGATGTGTGATTAACTTGTATCATGCCACAGGCAGGTAGCCTTCAGAGGTTATAGTGACTATATATTAAAACTTCAGAGACATCAGTCAGAACACTATCATTGTGTTTTATGTGAAGTTGTTGGCCCCTGTGAAATGTACCCTTTTTATTATTAAATTGCTCACATTGTTGCACTTGTCAATGTTTAACAAATGTACAGCTTTGCCTCACAGAAATAACTACTTTATACACCTGCTAAATTAATAAAGGTCACAAAAATGTGTCCAGCATAGACCTTTATTTAAAAAAAATTATTTGATCATTTATCAATGCAATGAATATTGCAGATATACAAAGTCTGCATATTGAAAATTCAACATAAGTCAATGGAGGTTGATTCCTTTTGAATCACTTAAGTTAAGGCAGCTAGAATTACAGACAAATTAAACATAGGGGGCAATGTTTCATGACATTACATTGCCTGTTTGGATCATTACAATACTAGTACTGGATAATGTGTAGTAAATATCCACTGTAATCATTGCCTGGCTATTACAAATATCAATTAATATAATATGGAAAATGTTTCAAATACACATTGAATAGACAGTACTACACTGTCAGTAAAGGAAAGGGTACAAGTACCTCTGGGTGATACTGTTAGGGAACAGGGGGTGTGTTTTGCAGAAGAAACCGACCCTACCGTTTCACTTGTTTACACTGAGCTGCACTGAGGTCGGAAAGCAATCATAGTTGCATTAAGACACCGTGGAGCCGGCGCGAGATATGGGTTGGAAATGTACCTTAATGCAGGGATGGGATATGCCACTGTACTGTGGCATACTGCTCCATCGAGAAGATTGAAATACTGCTAATTTTCCTGGAAAACTGCCCTTTTCATCCTCCTGCTAGCTAGCAGTAGCCACCGCACCCATTATGGAATGGCAAGTCACGTTCAACAACAAAGGAGCTGGTTGACTGACACAGAAGTTACAATCATAAGTCATCAAAGCGGCAATATTCTACAGTCATAGAGCCTCCGTGTATGGCAAAAGTTAGGAGATATCTAAATAATGGAAGATGGAATTAAAAGTTAAAGGAGAAGTATAGGCTACAACGACCAAGAGCCAACAGGTAGGCTGCTACTTAATATTCTGAATGGAGTTATTATTTGTAGGTTGGAAAAAGCGCATGCACTGCAGCCTCAATTAGCCTAGCTAGGTATCGTTAGCTAGCTTAACTAGCTTCTCCCGGTTTGATGCAGTCAAGACAGGTACTACATAATCATATTTGATGATAAATAACCTCGCTATGACAGTTATTAGTCTATTATAGAGTGAGTTGGCTAGGTTGGTTGCTGTCTCTCGTCTCTCCCTCCCTTCTCCCTGTGTCACTCACTCACAGTACGGCCCCTCCCCCGCCTGCTAGAGCGGCACCTTTCTCCCTCCTCTCACGCTTTATCAGTTCTGGTTAATAAAGTAGCTTAAAAAATGACTTTTCTGCTGCTTCCGTCACTCGGATCAGATCGGACCGGGTCTGGATCCGACCAGGTATATACGGAACGGGTCTAGTTGTCCTCTGGTCCGTTTGGAACGGGTCTCTATATTTAAAAAAATAATTTATGCATATCGGGTTTGGGTGGGAAAGCCCCAGGTCCATTTCGGAACAGATCCAACTTTTTGCACCTGTGAAGACCTCTAGACTGGACCTCCAGAAACACTGTGGTGATTGCATCAGCATACATGTCATTCAGAGGGTTGGCGATCCACTGCACACACAGCAGCAATACAAGTTAGCTAATGCTCACACACTTTAATCATACTCAATTTCAATTCAATGCAACTTTATTTATCCCCTCTGGGCCAACTAAGAATGGCATGTCATTTACAGGTATCATAATCAACACAACACCCTCCAGATAAACAATACAGTACATGACAGACATTATTCCCCAGACATCATTACAATACATCCCCCCAAACAACACATAAATACACAATACAATAACTTGTTAATTAGTGGAACAGTGGTAAGTAGTATCTGACCTCCACACCACCATGCCAGCCTCATGCACCAGTGTGATGTTCTCTGCATATTCCACTTCCTCCACATATCCTAAAAGATAACAGAAAATACAAGTAGGTGCACAAATTAAATGACTTGTAGGTAAAACCAGGAGGTTTTCCTGGCCGTGTAATGTAACCAGGAATAAGTCCAGGGCCTGGTTAGAAATGACAGCTATTTACAGTGAAGATTTTTGAAAACAATCAGAGGTGGACAGTGGTTATGTCAAATATGGCACCCTATTCCGTATATACTTACAACTGGGTCCGACCGGCAGACTGGCCAGATAGCTAGGTCCGGCCTGCCGGCTGGACCCAGCTATCTGGCCGGCCGGACCTACCTATCTGGCCGGCCGGACCTAGCTATCTGGCCAGCCGGCCGGACCTACCTATTTGACCTAGCTGTCTGGTCGGCCGTAGCTATCTGGACCTATGTGGCCGGCCGGACCTAGCTATCTGGCCCGGCCGGACCTAGCTATCTGGCCGGCCAGCACTTTACATGGGACCAGCACTTTACATGTTGCGTTTATATTTTTGTTCAGTGTATTTAGCTGGGTTTTCCATGCATGGGCAAGACAGAAGAGCAGCCTTTGTCAACAGCAGCTGGTGCGTGATCTCTAATATTAAGGAAGTCTCAAGGTTTGGCTCGCATGAGATAGAGTACCTCATGATAAGCTGTTGACCACACTATTTACAGAGAGAGTTTAACTATATTTTTCATAGCTGTATTTACCACCACAAACCGATGCTGGCACAAAGACTGCACTCAACGAGCTGTATAAAGCCATAAGCAAAACAGTAAATGCTCCTAGTGGCTGAGGACTTGAATGCAGGAAAACTGAAATCCGTTTGATTTCATTTCTACCAGTGTGCAACTAGAGGAAAGAAAACTCTAGATCACCTTTACACAGAGACTCATACAAAGCTCCATTTGGCAAATCTGACCATAACTGTATCCACCTGATTGCTGCTTACAAGCAAAAACTCAAACAGGAAGTAACAGTGACACGCTCAATACTGAAGTGGTCAAATGAAGCGGCTGCTAAGCTACAGGACTGTTTTACTAGCACAGATTGGAACACACACACACAGGCATATGTTCTGAGATTCATCCAATGGCATTGAGGAGTTTACCACATCAGCCACCGACTTCATTAATAAGTGCATCGACGACGTCGTCCCCACAGTGACCGTACGTACGTACATATCCCAACTAGAAGTCCAGCCGCACAGGCAACATCTGCATTGAGCTAAAGGCTAGAGCTGCCGCTTTCAAGGAGCGGGACACTAATCCGGACGCTTATAAGAAATCCCACTACACCCTCCGACGAACCATCAAACAGGCAAAGCGTCAATACAGGACTAAGATCGAATCCTACTACACCGACTCTGATGCTCGTCGGATGTAGCAGGGCTTGTAAACTATCACGGATTACAAAGGGAAACCCAGTCGCGAGCTGCCCAGTGATGCGAGCCAACCAAACGAGCTAAATTCCTTCTATGCTCGCTTCGAGGCAAGTAACACAGCTGTTCCGGACGACTGTGTGATCACGCTCTCCGTAGCCAATATGAGTAAAACAGGTTAACATTCACAAGGCTGCAGGGCTAGATGGATTACCAAGACGCGATTTCCAGAGCATGCGCTGACCAGCTCGTACGTGTCTTCAATGACATTTTCAACCTCTCCCTGACCCAATCAGTAATACCTACAGTTGAAGTCAGAAGTTTACATACACCTTAGACAAATACATTTAAACTCAGTTTTTCACAATTCCTGACATTTAATCCTAGTAAGAATTCCCTTTCTTAGGTCAGTTAGGATGACCACTTTATTTTAAGAATGTGAAATGTCAGAATAATAGTAGAGAGAATGATTTATTTCAGCTTTTATTTCTTTCATCACATTCCCAGTGGGTCAGAAGTTTACATACACTCAATTAGTATTTGGTAGCATTGCCTTTAAATTGTTCAACTTGGGTCAAACGTTTCGGGTAGCCTTCCACAAGCTTCCCACCATAAGTTGGGTGAATTTTGGCCCATTCCTCCTGACAGAGCTGGTGTAACTGAGTCAGGTTTGTAGGCCTCCTTGCTCGCATACACTTTTTCAGTTCTGCACACATTTTCTATAGGATTGAGGTCAGGGCTTTGTGATGGCCACTCCAATACCTTGACTTTGTTGTCCTTAAGCCATTTTGCCACAACTTTGTAAGTATGATTGGGGTCATTGTCCATTTGGAAGACTCATTTGCGATGTGGTAACTAAATAATGATGCTGATTATGCTGTGAGAACAAGGAATCCGCTGACACTGTCCTCAATTATAATAGTTTTATTACATTGAAGATTTCAGCGCCAATTTACAGACTTCTGCAGACATCTGGAGAACAACCGGCCCAATCTTTTAATATGTTGTTACTACCCTCCTATGTCCCAACCATAGTATTTATAATCTGTGACATGGTATGGGTGGTTTCCCCTACAGACCAATCCCAGGACGCCACATAACAGACTTCCTCTGTTTTAGGGTGCCCCTATAGAAATGCTCTCCAGATGCTTCCTCAAGCTGAGTCAACATCCTCTAACACACCATTTGCAAACGTCAGCAAAGTCATAAATTGTTTAGACACTACAGCGACCAAGCTTTAACTTCCTGACTGATGTCTTGAGATGTTTCTTCAATATATCCACATAATTTTCCTTCCTTATGATGCCATCTATTTTGTGAAGTGCACCAGTCCCTCCTGCAGCAAAGCACCCCCACAGCATGATGCTGCCACCCCCGTGCTTCACGGTTGGAATTGTGATACAGTTAATTACAAGTGAAATAATCTGTCTGTTGGAAAAATTACTTGTGTCATGCACAAAGTAGATGTCCTAACCAACTTGCCAAAACTATAGTTTTTGAAATTTGTGGAGTGGTTGAAAAACGAGTTTTAATGACTCCGACCTAAGTGTATGTAAACTTCCGACTTCAACTGTACATGTTTCAAGCAGACCACCATAGTCCCTGTGCTCAAGAACGCCAAGGTAACCTGCCTAAATGCCTACCGTCACGTAGCACTCACTGTAACCATGAAATGCTTTGAAAGTCTGGTAATGGCTCACATCAACACCATCATCCCAGAAACCCTGGACCACTCCTATTCACATAGCGCCCCAACAGATCCACAGATGACACAATCTCTATTGCACTCCACACTGCCCTTTCCCACCTGGACAAAAGGGACACCTACGTGAGAATGCTGTTCATTGACTACAGCTCAGCATTCAACACCATAGTGCCCTACAAGCTCATCACTAAGCTAAGGACCCTGGGACTGAACACTCTGCAACTGGATCCTGGACATCCTGACGGGCCGCCACCAGGTGGTGAGGGTAGGCAACAACACATCTGCCACACTGACCCTCAACACAGGGGCCCCCCTGTACTCCCACAACTACGTGGCTGCTGTTACAGGCGTTGGTTTTTTCATTTATGTTTTGAGGTTGAATTTGAGCACGTATAGCTTGTTAGCATGTAGGGCGCATCAATTGGTGTCACCTTGTTAGTCAGTGTGTGTTACACCTGTGCTGGTTGCAATCTCGTTAGTGGGAAGGTGTTTCACCTGTGCAGGCCCAGTGCTCCAGTTGTCTTGAGAGATGTGCATGGTCAACACTTTTAGTTGGATCTCCCTATTTGATTTCTAGAAAAACATTCCTTAGTCTGATTTTGTTTTGCTCCAACTTTTTGGTTTGCTTCCTGTCTTTAAGTTTGGTGTGGGTTTTTCCTTTTGTTTGCCTCTTCTTGGGCAAATTTAGTGGGTGCTCATGGTGGGTGTCTTTTAGGTTGCTGATGTTGTTGCTATGCTAGTCAACTTTCAGTGGACACCCCCGTGTCTTTCAGAACCCCTCCTAAAACCCCACCTGTTTTGTTTTGGTTGTTGTCAGTGACTCTTTGTTAGTTCTCTCTTCTGTTTGAGCGACATTTTTTGTTTTCTTGATGGGGAACATAACAAAATGGGGGCTCGTCCGGGATCTTGTTTCCCATGAGTATGGTAGTCGCTCGATTCACCTACTCTTAAGCTCTGCTTTGTCCGGATATTTGAGTGTCCAGAAGACACTGAGGGGTTATACGATTGGAAAGTTGCAGAAACACACAGGCTAATAGAATAAAGCCATGGACTTAAGTTAGAAGCATTTGTGGAAAACCCTACGTGGGAGATGCTAGATAAATGTACAAAGGCGAATCTGCTTGTCATTGCAAAGCATTATGACATCAAGGTGGCATCTGGCGATCCAAAAGCAGTAGTCAAAGAGTTGATCAGTACTGCTTTGGTGGAGGAAGAAATCCTTCCGGAGAGGGAGGTTGATGAAAAGGATCCTATGGGTAGTAGGGTGAGTCCTGTAGACATGCAACTGCAAGAGTTAGAACTAAAGGCAAAATGGGAACAACAGAAATTTGAGCACAAGGAAAAGGAAAGAGAACATGAGGAGAGATTGGAGCAACATAAATTAGAGCTTGAGCACAAGGAAAGGGAACAGGAACTGGAGCATGCCATTCGATTGAAAGATAGATCTGGAAGCACTCCGAATCCAGTCAGGCCATCCTGTACCCTCAACAGAGTTTGCTCTTGGTTGGAACAGCCGACTTGTACCGCCTTTCAATGAAAAGGAGGTGGATGTATATTTTACTCTGTTTAAGTGGATTGCCACATCCCTAAAATGGCCACAAGATATTTGGTCACTGCTCCTCCAAAGTGTTCTTGTGGGAAAAGCTCAGAAAGTATCTCTTGACCAGAGTTCAGATTATGACACTATTAAAGCTGCTATCCTTCGTGCTTACGAGTTGGTCCCAGAGGCATACAGACAACAGTTGTGTAAATTACGAAAGACAGAATCACAAAGCCATGTTAAGTTCGCAAGCATGTATTTTTGATCGGTGGTGTGGTTCTGAAGAGGTCAAGGATTTAAAGACATTCATACTTCTCGAGCAGTTCAAGAATTGCCTTCAAAAAAGGGTTGCGACCTACATTTATGAGCATAAGGATCTCAATATTGAGAAAGCTGCAATTCTTGCAGATGAGTTTGTGTTAACACATAATGCTACCTTCATAAACAAAGCACCCAGTAGTTATCCCTACGCAAAAAGCAATCCAGAGAAGTCACCTCCTACTGCAAGGTTAAAGATAAAGTGATAAACTGGTTTTTCGTATCCGCCAGTTTGTCATTACTGCCGTGAGAAAGGACACATGGAATGAGAGAAAAAGCTGTTTCTTCTTGTGGGAGCACTGCAGCCCATTAAGATTGGTGTAGGGCGGCAGGTAGCCTAGCGGTTAAGCGCGTTGGGCCGGTAACCGAAAGGTTGCTGGTTTGAATCCCGAGCTGACTAGGTGAAAAATCTGTCGATGTGCCCCTGAGCAAGGCACTTAACCCAATTGCTCCTGTAAATCGCTCTGGATAAGAGCATCTGCTAAATGACTCAAATAAAAAAAGAGTATCTGCTAAACAAGATTTTGGATCAGATGTGTACGAACCCTTTGTTTCAGATGGGTTCGTGTCTCTGCAGAGTGGTGACGTTGTTAAGCAGCCGGTGAAGATACTGCGAGGCATTGGGGCAGACCAGTCCTTCATTTTGGAGGGTGTTTTGCCTTTGTCTGACACTTCAGCAACTGGTTACAGTGTGTTAGTACAAGGCGTGGAGATGGGTTGCATGGAAGTTCCTTTGTATAATGTGGAACTCGAGTCTGATCTTATTTCTGGTTCTGTTGTCGTTAGAGTGAGGCCTAGCCTACCGATGAAGGGGGTCTCATATATTTTGGGAAACGATTTGGCTGGAGGGAAGGTCGTGCCAAATCCTGTAGTTTGTAAGGAACCCAGAGTAGAGGAACCTGATGGGTTATCAGAAAAGTACCCTAGCGTGTTCCCAGCGTGTGCCGTTACACGTGCTATGTCTAAGAAAGTTGCCGGCAGCAAGTGTTGAGGAGGATGTCAGTGATTATGGGTGATCCTGATTTCACTAAACCTCCTGAGTTGACCTCTCCTTTGAAAACCCCAAAGGTGAGCGAGTTTGTAGGACCACTGAAGGGAGTGTCCCTACAGTTAACACTTCGATGTCTAGGAAGCAGATGATTGCATAATAGAGTAATGCTGTTTCCCTCTCCCCTCTTTTTGCTGAGATACATCCAGAGGAGGAGTTAAATGAAGTTTGTGTGGGTTACTTTGACAGAGATGGTGTTCTAATGAGGAAATGGTGTTCTCGCGCCACTTCTGGGTAAGAGGATTGGCCCAGTGTATCTCAAATTGTCATTCCAGTTACGCTTCGACAAGAGATACTGAAGTTGGCTCACGATGGTAGTATGGCAGGCCTTCTTGGGGTCATCAAGACGTATAACCGTATCATGCATAACTTCTTCTGGTCTGAAACAGGATGTTGTGTCTTACTGTAAATCCTGTCACGTTTGCCAGCGGACGGGCAAACAGAACCAAGCTGTACCGGTTGCACCTTTGCAGCTGATTCCTGCTTTTGACAAACCTTTCAGCAGGGTTCTGGTGGATTGTGTTGTTCCTTTGCCCAAAGCCAAGAGTGGTAATCAGTTTCTCTTGACCATTATGTGTGCTGTCACTCGTTTCCCTGAGGCCATTCCACTGAGGAAAATCACAGCTCCCAGTATTGTTAAGGCCCTTGTGAAATTATTTTCAACATTTGGACATCCGCAGGTAGTGCAGTCGGACCAAGGTTAGAATTTCATGTCAAAGGTTTTCCAGCAAGTGCTACAAAAGTTGGGTGTTACCCACTGCCCCTCTAGTGCCTACCACCCAGAGTTTCAAGGTGCTCTTGAGAGATTTGATCAGACTTTGAAGTCTATGTTGAGAGCTTACTGCTTTGAGTTTGAGACAGACTGGGATGAAGGCGTCTTGTGCTGTTTGCAGCGAGTGAGCTTGTTCAGGAATCTCTCGGTTTTAGTCCGAATGAACTCGTGTTTTGACATCATGTCAGAGGTCATTTGAGCTTACTGAGAGAGAGGTTGTTGCAGGGCAACACCTTAAACACAAAAACAAAATCTGTTGGGAGCACGTTAGCCCTTTTCGATACAAATTGCACTGCGCCTGTGAGTTTGCCAGTGAGAATCTGGAGAGGGCGCAAACGAAAATGAAAGTTTGGTACAATCGAAAGGCCAGAGACCGCACTTTCGATGTGACCAAGACATGGTTCTTCAAATAGCCACCATTGCCTTGATGACAGCGTTGCACACTCTTGGCATTCTCTCAACCAGCTTTATGAGGTAGTCACCTGGAATGCATTTCAATTAACAGGTGTGCCTTCTTAAAAGTTAATTTGTGGAATTTATTTCCTTCTTAATGCATTTGAGCCAATCAGTTGTGTTGTGACAAGGTAGGGGGGTATACAGAAGATAGCCCTTTTTGGTAAAAGACCAAGTCCATATTATGGCAAGAACAGCTCAAATAAGCAAAGAGAAAGTACAGTCCATCAACACCTTAAGACATGAAGGTCAGTCAATCCAGAAAATGTCAAGAACTTTAAAAGTTTCTTCAAGTGCAGTTGCAAAAACCAAGCGCTATGATGAAACTGGCTCTCATGAGAACCGCCACAGGAATGGACAACCCAGAGTTACCTCTGCTGCAGAGGATAAGTTCATTAGAGTTACCAGCCTCAGAAATTGCAGCCCAAATAAATGCTTCACAGAGTTCAAGTCAGACACATCTCAACATCAACTGTTCAGAGGGGACTGTGTGAATCAGGCCTTCATGGTCGAATTGCTACAAAGAAACCACTACTAAAGGACACCAATAAGAAGAGACCTGCTTGGGCCAAGAAACACGAGCAATGGACATTAGACCAGTGGAAATTTCCAAATTTGAGTCCAAATTTGAGATTTTTGGTTCCAACCACCGTGTCTTTGTGAGACGCGGTGTGGGTGAACGGATGATCTCTGCATGTGTAGTTCCCACCGTAAAGCATGGAGGAGGTGGTGTTATGGTGTGGCAGTGCTTTGCTGGTGACACTGTCTGTGATTTATTTTGAATTCAAGGCACACTTAACCAGCACGGCTACCACAGCATTCTGCAGCGATACGCTTTGGGCTTAGTGGGACTATCATTTTTTTTCAACAGGACAATGACCCAACACACCTCCAGGCTGTGTAAGGGCTATTTTACCAAGAAGGAGCATGATGGAGTGCTGCATCAGATGACCTGGCATCCACAATCCCCCGACCTCAACCCAATTGAGATGGTTTGGGATAAGTCGGATGGCAGAGTGAAGGAAAAGCAGCCAACAAGTGCTCAGCATATGTGGGAACTCCTTCAAGACTGTTGGAAAAGCATTCCAGGTGAAGCTGGTTGAGATAACGCCAAGAGTCTACAAAGCTGTCATCAAGGCAAACGGCAGCTATTTGAAGAATCTCAAATATAAAAAATATATTGATTTGTTTAACACTTTTTTGGATACTACAGTCGTGGTCAAACGTTTTGAGAATGACACAAGTATTGGTCTTCACAAAGTTTGCTGCTTCAGTGTTTTTAGATATTTTTGTCAGATGTTACTATGGTATACTGAAGTATAATTACAAGCATTCCATAAGTGTCAAAGGCAAAATTGTGAGTGAGCCTACTCCCTTGGCTGAGAAGCAACCCCACACATGAATGGTCTCAGGATGCTTTACTGTTGGCATGACACAGGACTGATGGTAGCGCTCACCTTGTCTTCTCCGGACAAGCTTTTTTCCGGATGCCCCAAACAACCGGAAAGGGGATTCATAAGAGAAAATGACTTTACCCCAGTCCTCAGCAGTCCAAATTGTACCTTTTGCACAATATCAGTATGTCCCTGATGTTTTTCCTGGAGAGAAGTGGCTTCCTCGCTGCCCTTCTTGACACCAGGCCATCCTCCAAAAGTATTCGCCTCACTGTGCGTGCAGATGCACTCACACCTGCCTGCTGCCATTCCTGAGCAAGCTCTGCACTGGTGGTGCCCCGATCCTGCAGCTGAATCAACTTTAGGAGACGGTCCTGGCGTTTGCTGGACTTTCTTGGGCGCCCTGAAGCCTTCTTTACAACAATTGAACCTCTCTCCTTGAAGTTCTTGATGATCCGATAAATGGTTGATTTAGGTGCAATCGTACTAGCAGCAATATCCTTGCCTGTGAAGCCCTTTTTGTGCAAAGCAATGATGACGGCACGTGTTTCCTTGCAGGTAACCATGGTTAACAGAGGAAGAACAATGATTTCAAGCACCACCCTCCTTTTAAAACTTCCAGTCCGTTATTCTAACTCAATCAGCATGACAGAGTGATCTCCAGCCTTGTCCTCGTCAACACTCTCACCTGTGTTAATGAGAGAATCACTGACATGATGTCAGCTGGTCCTTTTGTGGCAGTGCTGAAATGCAGTGGAAATGTTTTTTGGGATTAAGTTCATTTTCATGGCAAAGAGGGACTTTGCAATTAACTGCAATTCATCTGATCACTCTTCATAACATTCTGGAGTATATGCAAATTGCCATCATAAAAACTGAGGCAGCAGACTTTGTGAAAATTAATATTTGTGTCATTCTCAAAACTTTTGACCACGACTGTACATGATTACATATGTGATATTTAATAGTTTTGATGTATTCACTATTATTCTACTATTATTCTACAATGTAGAAAATAGTACACACAAAATAGTACACTGGTTGGTGCGGTTGTCGTCGGATGCGGTTGTGTCTCTCTCTGGCGGGAGGTAAGCTTGGCTTATATGGTGTCGAGTAAAGCTTAAACCATGTATTTAGATTGTAGTTAGGTATTGTAGGTAGTTTATCTAGGTAGTTATCGTAGGTTATCGTAGGTTATTGTAGGGAAGTATTGTATTCGTCTGAGCCCGGTGAAGCACGAGGCTAGCTAACCCACTACCTGGACTAGCTAGCGGGTAGCTACTGGTAACTATTAGCAACTGTGGATAGTTGTTTCCGATGTTATTTCACGCTTAATAGTACCTGTAATTATGCCAGCTAGCTTCCTACCATTCAGCTGTTTTTCTAACCTCATTATCTGAAGCGTTAACGTTAGGTAGTTAGTAGCTACTGTACTCGAAATGTAGCTAGCTTGTTGCTACCTGGATAGCTAACTAGACAATAGCTGGAACGACCTAGCGAACAGACGCGAACTGGCTGAATCGATTCAGTGGCTAGTTTTGCACTTAACTGGCTAACAGAAGCTACTAAGGGTAAGTTATAACCTACATTTGTGTTTTGTTTTTACATACTGGTAACCAGAGTCGTTCAAGGGAATTCGGGACATGGGTGACTAGTTAACGTTAGCTTGGCTCTCTTTGTGTGTTCGTGCCGTGGGAGGAGGGTTTTTTTCGTTGGCAGAGAGCAATGGCTAGCTAGTATGCTTACTATTCTAGCTAACTAACTGGCTGAATAAGTTGACGACGGACTCACTCAAACGGTCAAAACTAACCCAAAACTTTACACAACGTTAGACACGGACACGAATGATCTGCTTTGCGTGTTAACACACTGGTGGTTTGTTGTAACCGAGTATTGGTGCTAAACCGTGTTATTGGAGGCTGGCATGCTAGTTGGCTATGGCGTCATAGGATTCGGTGCCCTGGTCGATTTTCACGGAAGAATACTGTACCAAGTTAGCTGAATAAACTAAGTTAGTCTATTCCTAGAAAACATTGAACCACTGTAGTTTACAACAATTATAATTTCTAAAGTGGAAGTTGGGAGAGTATTTATTTTATTTGAGTGTTTCAGTGAAACGTAAGTGAGGGAGGCCCCGCTCTCTCACTTTCCCAGATGTTTAGTTCATTTCATTCCGATCTCCTTTGCATTATTGTAGCCATTTTCTGTAGCCTGTCAACTATGTGTCTGTCTATCCCTGTTCTCTCCTCTCCGCACAGGCTATACAAACACCACACACCGCGTGGCTGCTGCCACTCTAACCTGGTGGTCCCTGCATGCACGACCCACGTGGAGTTCCAGGTCTCCGGCAGCCTCTGGAACTGCCGTTCTGCGGCCAACAAGGCAGAGTTCATCTCAGCCTATGCTACCCTCCAGTCCCTCGACTTCTTGGCGCTGACGGAACCATGGATTACCACAGAAAACACTGCTACTCCTACTGCTCTCTCCTCGTCTGACCATGTGTTATCACATACCCCGAGAGCATCTGGTCAGCGTGGTGGTGGCACAGGAATCCTCATCTCTTCCAAGTGGACATTCTCTCTTTCTCCCCTGACCCATCTATCTCCTCATTTGAATTCCATGCTGTCACAGTCACTAGCCCATTGAAGCTTAACATCCTTATCATTTATCGCCCTCCAGGTTCCCTTGGAGAGTTCATCAATGAGCTTGATGCCTTGATATGTTCCTTTCCTGAGGATGGCTCACCCCTCACAGTTTTGGGTGACTTTAACCTCCCTACGTCTACCTTTGACTAATTTATTTCTGCCTCCTTCTTTCCACTCCTCTCCTCTTTTGACCTCACCCTCTCACCGTCCCCCCCTACTCACAAGGCAGGCAATACGCTTTACCTCATCTTTACTAGATGCTGTTCTTCTACTAATCTCACTGCAACTCCAAGTCTCCGACCACTACTTTGTATCCTTTTCTCTCTCGCTCTCCTCCAACACTACTCACTCTGCCCCTACTCAGATGGTAATGCGCCGTCGCAACCTTTGCTCTCTCTCTCCCGCTACTCTCTCCTCTTCCATCCTATCATCTCTTCCCTCTGCTCAATCCTTCTCCCTCCAATCTCCTGATTCTGCCTCCTCAACCCTCCTCTCCTCCCTTTCTGCATCCTTTGACTCTCTATGTCCCCTATCCCCCCGGCCGGCTCGGTCCTCCCCTCCTGCTCCGTTGCTTGACGACTCATTGCGAGCTCACAGAACAGGGCTCCGGGCAGCCGAGCGGAAATGGAGGAAAACTAGACTCCCTGCGGACCTGGCATCTTTTCACTCCCTCCTCTCTACATTTTCTTCCTCTGTTTCTGCTGCTAAAGCCACTTTCTACCACTCTAAATTCCAAGCATCTGCCTCTAACCCTAGGAAGCTCTTTGCCACCTTCTCCTCCCTGCTGAATCCCCCCCCCCCTCCCCCAGGGCTCAGTTCTAGGCCCTCTCCTATTCTCGCTATACACCAAGTCACTTGGCTCTGTCATATCCTCACATGGCCTCTCCTATCATTGCTACGCAGACGACACACAATTAATCTTCTCCTTTCCCCCTTCTGATAACCAGGTGGCGAATCGCATCTCTGCATGTCTGGCAGACATATCAGTATGGATGACGGATCACCACCTCAAGCTGAACCTCGGCAAGACGGAGCTGCTCTTCCTCCCGGGGAAGGACTGCCCGTTCCATGATCTCGCCATCACGGTTGACAACTCCGTTGTGTCCTCCTTCCAGAGTGCAAAGAGCCTTGGCGTGACCCTGGACAACACCCTGTCGTTCTCCGCTAACATCAAGGCGGTGACCCGATCCTGTAGGTTCATGCTCTACAACATTCGCAGAGTTGACCCTGCCTAACACAGGAAGCAGCACAGGTCCTAATCCAGGCACTTGTCATCTCCCGTCTGGATTACTGCAACTCGCTGTTGGTTGGGCTCCCTGCCTGTGCCATTAAACCCCTACAACTCATCCAGAATGCCGCAGCCCGTCTGGTGTTCAACCTTCCCAAGTTCTCTCACGTCACCCCGCTCCTCCGCACACTCCACTGGCTTCCAGTTGAAGCTCGCATCTGCTACAAGACCATGGTGCTTGCCTCCGTACCTTCAGGCTCTGATCAGTCCCTACACCCAAACGAGGGCATTGCGTTCATCCACCTCTGGCCTGCTGGCCCCCCTACCTCTGCGGAAGCACAGTTCCCGCTCAGCCCAGTCAAAACTGTTCGCTGCTCTGGCACCCCAATGGTGGAACAAGCTCCCTCACGACGCCAGGACAGCGGAGTCACTCACCACCTTCCGGAGACACTTGAAACCCCACCTCTTTAAGGAATACCTGGGATAGGATAAAGTAATCCTTCTACTACCCCCTATATATCGTAAAGTGGTTGTCCCACTGGCTATCATAAGGTGAATGCACCAATTTGTAAGCCGCTCTGGATAAGAGCGTCTGCTAAATGACGTAAATGTAAATAAAGAAAAACCCTTGAATGAGTAGGTGTGTCCAAACTTTTGACTGGTACTGTATATATTCACACAAAACAAAGTGGGTGTTTTTGTCTTATATTTAATTGTTGACAGCCAGTAGACGCCATGTTTACATTGGAGAAGGCGATGCATTTAATTAGCGACGCATTTAAGTTGATTATGTTGTGAGATGGAAGTTGTTTTCTGTTGGTGTTAAGCAAACTTGTCCAACATAAATATATACTGAACAAAAATATAAACGCAGCATGTAAAGTGTTGGTCCCATGTTTCATGAGCTGAAATAAAAGATCCCAGAAATGTTCCATACGCACAAAAAGCTTATTTCTCTCAAATTTTGTGCACAAATTTATTTACATCCCTGTTAGTGAGCATTTCTCCTTTGCCAAAATTATCCATCCACCTGACAGGTGTGGCATATCAAGAAGCATGCTCTCCTCCAAGTCGGTCTCTGTGTACAGTATGTCGTCTGCAGAGATGTTACCTGGAGGGAAAACAGAGACAGTCAGGGACACCATGTGAACCCCAATGGTCCATAATGGATGATGGCATCTCTATAACGACTCTACATTGCAGCATCCTGTATTTTTTGCCCTGAAGACATGGCTGTGTAGATCGAATCCCCAAGCCAACAAGGTAAAAATCTGTCGTTCTGCCCTTGAGCAAGGCAATTAACCCCCAACAACAACTGCTCCCCGGCGCCGATGACGTGGATGTCGATTAAGGCAGCCCCCCGCACCTCTCTGATTCAGAAAGGTTGGGTTAAATGCGGAAGACACATTTTGGTTGAATGCATTCAGTTGTGCAACTGACTAGGTATCCCCCATTCTGAAACAGGGAGGGACTACCTGGATTTATCCAATAAGAAACACTTGTTTTCTATTGTGTATTGTGTTTTCTACATAACATATGAGAGGGAAGGAAGACTCACTTGCTGATGAGAAGCAGGTCTATCTCAGCCAGGTCGATCAAACTGATATAGGGAGAGGGCATGCATTCCCTCCAGTCCTGGGTGAATTCCACAGTCCAGCTGCAAAGGAAAAATAGATTGTGCTTATCAGGTTACTTCTATTTAAGTTTGACTCACACATTTTAATGTATGACAAATATGACTGCGTGTGTTACATTACCATGATGTTTTGGTCCCCTGCATCTCCAGAATGATGCGTGACCTGACCAGCTCCACTGTGGGAGGGAAAGAGGAGTCGACTGTCTGATGACATTTGACATAAAGTGACGTTCTGACAGATTCAGAAACAGCTCACATTATGGCAATATTTTGACAGCCCCCCCAAAAAATGCATCTTGAGAACTCATTGTAAGAATGCATAGTAAGTTAGTTGGCTAATTACTTGGAAATACCAACTAGCAAGCTAGCTACATATTTAGCCAGCTAAAGACACTGGGGCATCTTTGGACAATAACTTTGAACAACATTCAACAAACTCATTATTTAGCTGTCAATCATCGTGCTGTTAGCGAGCGAACAACGTGTTGAACAGGTTAAACTCAGAGGTCTAACGAGGTGCTGATCACTTTCCTCTGCAGGCACCGATACATCAGCTTCACGTTTTGCAGCCATATTTGTCTTCACTAAACAGATTTTATTCAATAAATACGTTTATTAATTCATTATTCTTGCATCCGCACGCCCATTAAAACACTTCCGTTCCAGAGCTCGAAATACGTTCGGACTTGGAATGGTCTTTGCGACAATGGTTCCGGTGTTGTAACAACATTTTAGGGCACAGCAGCAAGAGCACAGTCATTAAATTGCTATGATCTGTCCTCTAATCATCATCATCTGGACTGTCATTACAGTACATGTAAGTAAAGTGACCACTATACAGATCTGTCATAACATAATGTAACACAAAACACACAATGAGCCATTTCAAGTTTTAATGACCTTGTACCTTGTAAAGAACATGAGGGAAGATGATTTTACAGTTACAACAATGTACATACAGAGTTACCCTGTAACCCTTTTGACAGCATCATATATTCACAAATGCTCTTGATAAATGAGATTTCTTTCTATGTTAGGTTCAAACGTATCAGTTTCCCATCAGCAGAAGTGGTTAGGGATGGTCATGCTCTGTGGCAAGTGTTTGTGATACACAGCAATGTATTTACTATGTAATATGTAGAAAACGTTGAACGTCTGTACAATGTTTTTTATTAAAAATGTACTCTTTCAATACCCATCTGAGTCGATAACACAATACAAATACTGGATTTTAGCCTTAGGATGTTCTGTATATGAGCAGCATATGTGAGCTTTCAATAAAGACACAGGCCGGGATTCAATCCGAACGCAGATTTGGACAATGCACCATTTAAAGGTCATCTTTGATTAAGCTGACATATGCAGCGTATACCATGAATATGGTCTCTGCGAACGTGGGAACATGCCTTTAAAATGCGCATTGTGGACGAAGTGCGATTGGATTGAATCCTAGCCATAGTCTAACCAGAATCGTGCTCCAGTTATTTCCAGTTGTCTCAACAAACTGTGGAAGTTTAGTTTCTCAACACTTGGGGTGCGGGCTGAACAGTTTCCTCCATTTGCCTCTTATTTGGTGAATGTCGTTAAATAGTTTGTCACACATTTTCCAGCATTGTAGAACATTCTGTTGGCAGGTCATATAGTATACATCCCCTATTCAGTGCACTACCTTTGACCAGGACCCATAGGGCTCTGGTCAAAAGTAGTGCACTATGTAGGGAATAGGGTGCCATTCGGGAAACAGCCATCTTCTTTTGCTGTTTGGATGCATGAGAATAACATCATACACACACACACACACACACACACACACAGTGCACATTCCACATCTTTTTCACTCACAGTCTCACATACATAATAAAGGCCAGTGGAGGCTGGTAGGAGGAGCTATAGGAGGATGGATTTATTATAATGGCTGGAATGGAATAAATGGAACAGTATCAAACATATGGAAATCACATGTTTGACTCTGTTCCATCAATTCCATTCCAGCCATTAGTCTGCCCTCCTATAGCTCCTCCCACCAGCCTCCTCTGATACAGCCATAGATAAAGACAGTGACAGCTTCGGTCACACCATCAGATGCATCAGTCAGTGATGAAGTGTACAAATTTCACAGGGAAAGCCCCTCTCCTGGTCGGCTCCCCCTCCATATGTCCCAGCTGCAACATACACAGGACAGGATACCGTCAGTGGTACAGATATAACAGCACTTGATTAAGTGTGTGTGTGTGTGTGTGTACACTACTTACCCACCACTCCGGGTCCTCCTCTCCGTCCACTACGATCACCTCTCCCTCTGTGAACGTTAACTCATCTGGGTTATCAGCTAAACAGTTGTAGATGGCTTTCACCCTCCTGGGTTTCTGTTTCTGAGTGAGATAAAGGCCAAATAATACAAAGTTAGAAGATGTTAGTTCATGATTTTGCAAGTGTTGATGGTAAATCACAAGACTGTAAATAAGATCTGTTCATAATCAGTGTAAATGTGCTATTACTGTATTGCTATAATAATCTGTGTGTGAGGTAGTGATTGCACAGCTCTGATTGGCTGATGTCAGGAGCTAATGATTGGCTGAGGTCAGGTCCTGTGTGGCTCAGTTGGTAGAGCATGGTGTTAGCAACGTCGAGATTGTGTGTTCATTTCCACCCATACCAAAATGTATGCACACACTACTGTAAGTTGCTTTGGATAAAAGCATCTGCTAAATGGCATATATTATTATTATTATTATAATATTAGGCGCTCACAGGGTGGTTGGCGCGAGGCTTCGGTGTTGGAGGTGGGGTGGGACCAGAGCTCTGAGGGGATCCAGGTACAGGTGCGGTCTTTACTGCTCACACAAACAAAAAGACACACAGGGACAGTAAACGTCAATTCATTGACGTAACACATAGAATAAAGCCTCAATTGTAAAAGAAGGTTCAGGACGGCAGGTTAATTCCCTTCAATTATGTTTATTGCTGATGCGTTTCGGAGCAAGCTCCTTTGTCAAAGCACATAATTTAAAGCTCTTTGAATCAGACCAGTTATTTAATAATAATTGTATTTGTCTGTTTACCTGGTCTATCAGTTGGTCCAGCAGTCTTGATGGGAGGTCCTTTAGGAGTGGGTTTATCTGAACTGAAACCACACATCACATGAAGGGTCTTAGTTAACTGATAATCACGGGGAGTGAAACCAGTCCATCCATCCATCCATCCATCCATCATTTTACATTTTACTCATTTAGCAGACGCTCTTATCCAGAGCAACTTACAGTTAGTGAGTGCATACATTTTTTCATACTGGCCCCCCGTGGGAATCGAACCCACAACCCTGGCGTTGCAAGCGCCATGCTCTACCAACTGAGCTACACAGGTCTTTCGCCCTCTTTCTATCTACACACAAGATGCAATACTCTTGAATGAGAACACATGAGTATGCAGTTTAAGAATTCAAAACATCATCCTTCCATGGTCAGCGGCCATATGTACCAAGCGTCTCAGAGTAGAAGTGCTGATTTAGGATCAGGTCCCCCCTATCCACGTAATCATATTCATTGTGATCTAAAAGACTAAACTTATCCTAAATCAGCACTCTTACACTGAGATGCTTGATAAATGCCCCAGTTCTTACCTAGTCGGTGATTTAGGTGACTTGGGCCCTGGGGTTCTCTTGCTGGGATGGTATGCGGGGACAGGAGGGGGCTGTGTGGGTTTGAAGGGGGGTGCAGGGGGTGCTGTTGGTAGGACTGGTGCTACTGGGATGACCGGGGGCACTGGAGGCCCAGGTAATACGGTAGGTAAAGGAGGTAGAGGAGCAGTCTTATGGCCTCTATGCTCCATCAGATTGGTCCTCTTGTTCACAGGGGGAGGGGGAGCAGTCGGAGGAAGCACTACATGGAGAGAGGGGAGTGATATCAATCCATCTATATATCTATCTATCTTTCACATGTAGTTATAAAGGCCTTTTTACATCAGCAGTCATCAAAAATGTACTTATATTTTGTAATACAGTGCTTATATGTTGTTATTTATTGTGTAGTACGATGTAGTGCACTTACCATACATGGAGCTGTTGGGGTCTGGGGTGTTAGGGTTTGGGGGGTCTGAGGAGGACCTCTGTCTACCCACCACCTCCATAGGAGCCTGCTTCCACCCTGGACCTGCAAGGTTACAATAATAGGGTCAACCATTTAGGGTCAACCATTTGTCACATAGGGTCAACCATTTGTCACTATTTCAGCAACACTTTCAAGAAACGATGGTCCCGAGCAGGGGTGACAAACTCAATTCCCGGAGGGCCAAGTAGCTGTGGGTTTTCACTCCCCCCTCCTCCCCCCATTGATATGTTAGGAACTCCTCTCACCTGGTCTTAATTGGTCACAAATTGAAAGGAAATAACAAAAACCAGAAGACACCCTCCAGGAATTGAGTTTGACACCCCTGACCTAGAGCATGACCTATGACCTATGACCTATGCTCATTGTCATCCGACTGACCTTTGGTGGCGTTCCTGGGGGGAAGATATGGGATGGGTACCACCGGTAACGGTGGCATGGCGGGGGGAGGGGGGCTGGGTTCCAGGATGGTGCCATAGGTCTCGTTGCTCATCATCATGCTGGGGACATGGGCTCTCTGCTTGTCTCTGGCCAGGCTGGCCGCGTCACGAGCCAAGGAGGCCATGTTGAGACCACCTGGCATGGGACCCATGAGACCGCTGCCCGGGATGAAACAGCTGACAGGACGTTCCTGCTCTGACCGTCTGTGGGGGATGGGCTGGTTATGGGGGATAGGGATAGGACACACAGGTAGAGCTCATTAGCAGGCTAGTATGCTATCGATGCCATCTCTTCTAGCAATTGGAAACAGATGGTGATATGCTACATGCACAGCATAGCACAGCCTACATGCACAGCATAGAACAGCTTATATGCACAGCAAGTGAGTCTGGTATACAGTAAGCAGCACAGATTCCCCTGGGATGTCAAACATATACACTACATGACCAAAAGTATGTGGACACCTGCTCGTCAAACATCTCATTCCAAAATCATGGGCATTAATATGGATTTGGTCGCCCCTTTGCTGCTATAACAGCCTCCACTGTTAGATTTCAGTGTAGCCTTTGATATTATTGACCATAACCTGTTGTTGAGAAAACGTATGTGTTATGACTTTTCAACCTCTGCCATATCGTGGATTCAGAGCTATCTACTGTATCTAATAGAATTCAGAGGGTTTTCTTTAAATGGAAGCTTCTCTAATGTCAAACATGTAAAGTGTGGTGTACCGCAGGGCAGCTCTCTAGGCCCTCTACTCTTTTCTATTTTACAGGCATCAACAATTTTCAACACACTCCACAAAGCAAGTCCTGCAGGCTCTAGTTTGATCTTATCTTGATTATTGTCCAGTCATATGGTCAAGCGCTTCAAAGAAAGACGTAGTTAAGCTGCAGCTGGCCCAGAACAGAGCGGCACGTCTTGCTCTTCATTGTAATCAGAGGGCTAATATTAATACTATGCATGCCAGTCTCTCTTGGCTGAGAGTTGGGGAAAGACTTATTGTTTTTATAAGAAACATTAATGTATTGGAAATTCCAAATAGTTTGCATAGTCAACTTACACACAGCTCTGACACACACACACACACAACCCACCAGACATGCCACCATGGGTCTTTTCACAGTCCCCAGGTCCAGAACAAATTCAAGGAAACATACAGTATTATACAGAGCCATGAGTGCAGGGAACTCCCTTCCATCTTATATAGCACAAGTGAACAGCAAACCTGGTTTAAAAAAACAAATAAAGCAACACCTCATGGCACAACGCCTCTCCCCCATGTGACCTACTTGTTGTGTGTATGTACTGACCTGTATGTGTAACTGATAGATGCACACACACACACACACACTACATGTTTATGTTTTTAAATGTATGTACATTTTTAAAGTCTTTTTTTTGTCTGTAATGTCTTTTTCGTTATGTGTCGGACCCCAGTAAGACTAGCTGTTGCCATGGGGATCCTTATAAATCAAATCAAAATAAAGGTGAACTAACTCACCTTTTCCTCCATCTCATCTTCGCTCTCGTCCAGGTTGTCGTCGTTGCTGAGCCGCCACTCATACTCCACGTGTACATGGACGTTGAACTTCCCCGTCTCGGCCTGGGTCAGCTGAACACCACAAAGACAACAAACATACAGTCAACCTCGATCTGCTGTTACCCATGTTGATCATATGGAACCATGGGCCCTCCTCTAATAAAGAGGATCATCATATTGTTATAGGCTGCGTCTTAATCCTCCACCCTTTTCCAGAAGTGTGCCTTTGCACACTCCCTGTCATGGATTTAAAAGCATAGGAATGGTGTAAGTATTGTCTGGTGGGAGTTTTCACTATTGTTAAATCCATGACGAGAAGTGTGCAAGTTCACACATTGGGAAAAGTGTGGAGAATTGTGATGCAGTCATTGTGTTAAAATCTCAATGGCCTTCAGATTCCATTCAAAGACTGCACTCACCAGCTCCTCACACTGCGTATGTCTGAGGCGCTTGGCGATGTCCATTGGTGTTTCTCCTGCCTCGTTGGCTGCACACACAGACAGACAAACCAACCAGAGCTTAATTCATGTGTTTCTATGGGACTTGACCAGCCCTTTATCATGTGTTCATGGGCTGTATCCCAAATGGCACCCTATTCCGTATATAGTGCACTACTTTTGACCAGAGCCCTATGAGCCCTGGTTAAAAGTAGTGCACTATATAGGGAATAGGGTGCCATTTCGAATGCAGAAATGATCCTATGAGGGTACTTACCAATACTGACTGAGGCCCTGCCCCGCAGCAGCAGTTTGAGACACTCGCTGTTGTCGGTCAGGCAGCAGTAGTGCAGCGCCGTGCTCCCTTTGGCTGTCTGCTTCTCCAGGTTCCCACTGTTACGCACACCGAGAGACAGAATTACAGACAGATAGAGACACACACACACACACACATTGGTTTTAATATCCAAGTGGGGACCAAAAAATGTATTCCCATTAAAAAACGTATTTTCCCTAACCCCTAACCCTTACTCTTAACATAACCTTAACCCCAAACCCCTAACCCAACTCCTAACCCTAACCCTAATCCTAACCCTGTACCCTAATTCTAAGCCTAACCCTAAACTAACCCCTAAGGCTAAAAGAGCATTTTTCCTTTGGGGACTGGCGAAATGCCCCCATTTTCCATGTTTTACTGTCCTTGTGAGGATCTTTGGAACCCAAAAGGATAGTACAGTTAGACAAACGGTCGAGAACTGTCACCACAAGGGGGCAACACTGCCCTTCATTGATATTGACAATTATTGGGAGAACAACTTCTGCTCCTATCTAAATATTTTATTATATGCTGTTAGATAACTTCCCCTCTTCACATTTGATATCTGAGAGCTTGTTTGCTTCTGCTACTATAAGCTATAAAAGCAGTATCTTTTCACCCAGTCCTTTAGTACCTATTTTGGGCCAGGAAGTCCACAATATGGAGGGAGTTGCGGTCCACCATTCGTACTGCTAGGTGTAGTGCTGTCTCACCCGGTTCCTGAGGGCATGAAACAATGACAACTCAAGACAACAGTTCGAAAACATCCGTGTTAGAAATGTATAGCCAATATACCTACCAATCAGAGGCATTCAAATGTGACAAATCACACAAAAACATCATTATAAAACCAGCAAAACCAGTCAAGCTTGTTTCTCCATGTCATTGTTAGAAGGCAATGTCTATGTCCCAATGGCACCTTATTCCCAATATAGTGCACTACTTTTGACCAGGGCCCATAGTGCTATGGTCAAAATCAGTGGACTATGTATGGAATAGGGTGACATTTGGGATGTGGCCAGTGTCAATCATCTCACATGCTCATTGGCCATTGGGATGGTCTCCATCAGGTCCACTCCTTCAGCGTAGACCTGGATGAGAGAGAGGATATCTCGGGTCTTCACTGCCTCACACAGGACGTGCAGCCTGGACGCCAAGTCTGCACACTTCCTCTGAGCAAAACGCTTCTCCGTGTACTTGGCTGTGATGTAGTCCTTCCGCGTCTGCCTGAGGGAGACAAGAGCCCAGACAGATGGATGATCAAATACCAGGAAAGAGACAGGAAACGAGTGCAAGCCTGCATAAAAAATGCCCCCCTATCCCTTATATATTAGTGCACAGGAGGTTGGTGGCACCTTAATTGGGGAGGACGGGCTTGTGGTAATTGCTAGAGCGGAAGAAGTGGAATGGTATCAAATACATCAAACACATGGTTTGTTGCCATTCCATTTACTCCGTTCCAGCCATTATTATGAGCCGTCCTCCCCTCAGCAGCACTGTATTAGTGCACTACTTTTGACCAGGGCCCAGGGAATTGGGTGCCATTTGGGATGCACCCTAAGACATTCAGGACTATAAACAGTATAAAAAGAAGTGAAATGTATTCAACTTAATGTGAAATTAAATCTATTCAGTGTTGTTCCTGTTTTGGTGTTGGTGGAGGGTGAAGGAGGGAGCTGAGGGGTGTGGCTTGCCCTGCTGTCTGTCACTCACATGTCACTGGAGGGGTTGGGTTTAGTCACGCTCTGTTCAGACAGGTCCGCCTCCATGATCTCATTGAAACCTGCGTTCCCTACATTCTTAGCCAGCTGGGGAAGACCAGGTAGAGCACATGTCAATTTGGTATCCGCTCTGCCTTTATTCATCTAGCCTGGTCCCAGATTTGTTTGTGACGAACATGGACAATGACCATAGGAGTTGTCAAGACACCATGAACAGATCTGGGGATCACACTACTATTAATCTTACTAACTATAGTACAAAAGTATGTCAAATACAATCCTAAAAGCCTGTAGTATCTACCAGGAGCTCTGAGGTTCCCAGGACGTCCAGTGTGAGAGACTGTATTCTAGAGTAGTGGACACCCAACTCCCTGTGGATTCCAGAACACTCGATGCAGATGAGCACTCCTAGGTTAGTGGAGAGCCAGGTGGGATCTGAAGACAGAGATAGAGGATATTATCAGTGTTAAGACTAGTGTGCTGTAGCCCGGGGTGGTCTGGCAGTAGCTACCATTGCCTTCGGGGCACACATGTAGAGATGTAGATTCTTAATTTGAGCCAGTTTGCTAAAGCAGGAAAATAATCCTGCAGCAACAGTGAATTATTATGGGGATTATAATTAAATTGACATTTTTTGTAGGAGTTAATATATTTTTAAAGTCTGACATTTTAAAGAGTAAATTACAAACTTTAGAAGTATTTTTAAACCTCGAATACACTACAAGTTTGCATTTCCTGCTGTACAGAAAATTCTCAGCAACAAAAGATTGATCAAATTAAGATCCTACATCTGTATGCCAGTGCTGGCAGAGAGGCACACAATTTCTCCTCTTTACTTTCCTGTCTTTCTTCACGGTCTCAGTCCAATAAACTTGAAAAATCCCTAAAAAAAATGATATAAAAAAAGACTACTGGGCTTCCACTATAAGTTCTCACCTGAAATAGTTTTACCGTTAAATAAAGCTCCACTCCTAAGAGGGTGCAGTAGTATATTGATGCACTATTTTCAGTGTCTTATGATTATAAATTAAACACATGAGATATATATTGAGTGTACAAAACATTAAGAACACCTTCCTAATATTGAGTTGCACCCCCTTTTTCCCTCACAGCAACCTCAATTCGTCAGGGCATGGACTCTAGAATGTGTCGAAAGCGTTCCACAGGGATGCTGGCCCATGTTGACTCCAATGCTTACCACAGTTGTGTCAAGTTGGCTGGATGTCCTTTGGGTGGTGGACCATTCTTGATACACACGGGAAACTGTTGAGCGTGAAAAACCCAGCAGCGCTGCAGTTCTTGACACACTCAAACCGGTGCGCCTGGCACCTACTACCATACCCCTTTCAAAGGCACTTAAATATTTTGTCTTGCCAATTCACCCTCTGAATGGCACACATACACTATCCATGTCTCAATTGTCTCAAGGCTTGAACATCCTTCGTTAACCTGTCTCCTCCCCTTAATCTACACCGATTGAAGTGGATTTAACAAGTGACATCAATTAGGGATCATAGCTTTCACCTTGATTCACCTGGTCAGTCTATGTCATGGAAAGAGCAGGTGTTCATAATGATTTATTGACTCAGTGTATAGGCCTAGTAAGATTTCAGTAACATCCGACGGCCGCAACAGCCAACACTCTTTCTTCTGTCTTTGAAGAACTAGTCTGACTGACCTATCAGAGACTCCTAAGAAGGTGCGTGCAGCACATAGTCCATGTCAATCGTCAAACCAAGCAAGGTTGTACATTCAGCCTTGTGAATTATGAAACCCATGTCAGCCCCTCACACACTCACATATATACACTGTGTTTTTCTTCACTTTGATATAATAACCCTCTGGGAGGAAGACCACAACATTTTCATGCTGCCTTTTCCCAGCATGCTCTGTGTGTCACTCACTGGGCGCTCCGCAGTCACAGCACACATCGTTACCGGTCATCCTCTTGACCTCACTGACGATGGCCTTGGTCAGCTCCTGGACTATGTTGTTCTCTCCTCCCTCGTCCTGGTCTCCTTTGAAGGCATCGTTCAGGGCTTCCTCCTTACTGTTCTGCAGGACTGAGATCCATCTGAAAACACAGGCAGCCGAGAGAACCAGTGAGCTCTGAGGGCAAAGGTCTGTGTCCCAAATGGCACCCTATTCCCTATGTAGTGCACTACCTTTGACCAGCACACTATTGGGAATAGGGTTCCATTTGTGACGCGACCAACGTCAAAGAGAATCTGAGAGACCAATTACATGTACTACCTGTATCATGTACACACAATGATGTATACACCATGTTCACACAAAAACATGCACAGTGCAAAAGGCACAGACAGCTTACATTGGTTCAGTGAACCCCTATGGTACTTACATCTGACACTCTGCCTCATCCTCAGCTTGAAAGTGATAGGTTCTGTCATCTGTTTAGACAAATAATAGGCTGATTGAGCAACATGCAACTGGCACTTGCAGTAAGAGATGCTAAGAGACTAGATGGAAGATGTCTGTCATTTAATAAATATCATATTATAGAGTCTAGGGAATAAAATATGTTAAATAAAGTATGTTTTCTATCTTGCTTTTGCTATGTTAGCTAGATATTCAGAGGTTTGAGATGGAGAAGGAGCATCAAAGTGCTGCTTAAATTACGTGAGAAGAGATCAAAACTTTTCTTCTCATCTGGATTACGCTTCACTTGACAGGTTAGCAGGTTGAGTTTAGCTGGTGGTGTGTTAGCCTATGAGAGAGGAGCAGAGATGAGTAAGAGAACAGAGGGGGACAGACAATAAGACACTTTTTAATGCTGAAGTTGATCATACAGTATTCATGGAACTTTCCCAGTTGTGTAATGCCAAACAGTAAAACAACTTAATAAAAAACATTATTTTACAAATAAAAAGAGAATGTCAAATGCAGCAGCAACCTAGAAATGTATCATTGTACTTTTCATCTCTGTCCTGTTGAATGAAACAGTATGCTTACAACCACATCTCTCTAAAGGCCCAAAGAACAGCAGTGTTGTTGCACAATTACTGTCCAGTTATTTAGTGTAAGGATAGTAACAATGTGAAATGCAGGGAAACAGAACAAATATGACCCTTTTCTTCCATTATCACTGGACAAATTCACTGTGGAAGCCATGCTCAGGGGCAATTCACTGTGGAAGCCATGCTCAGGGGCAATTCACTGTGGAAGCCATGCTCAGGGGCAATTCACTGTGGAAGCCATGCTCAGGGGCAATTCACTGTGGAAGCCATGCTCAGGGGCAATTCACTGTGGAAGCCATGCTCAGAGGCAATTCACTGTGGAAGCCATGCTCAGGGGCAATTTTATCATTCAAACAATATCTCAGTACTGTGTCTGGCAAGAGGCTGCTATAATGTTAGAGGTTTTAGGACCTGACACAGGTTTTGTGAAATGATATCCGTCACGACATTCTGTGATCACAACTGAGAACGCTATGCCGTTAGATAATAACGTTATGACGTTAGAGCTTAGGGTAATGTTGTCAAGAGGAAAGTCATGCTCAAAAGAGCTTGTAGCGGTTTGTGATTGGATTCCTAGAAGAGGTCAGTACTGTACTGGTTAGTAATGAAATCACCTTTCCTGCCGACCCAAAAATGAAAGATTGAAATTCAAAACGTCTTCCTCTTCCCACTATTCTGTCTATCATCCACTTCCTCTTCTTCACGCTCTTCCTCTTCTTCACGCTCTTCCTCTTCTTCACGCTCTTCCTCTTCCTCATCCTCTTCTTCATCCTCTTCTTCATCCTCTTCTTCATCCTCTTCCTCTTCTTCACGCGCCCTCCTAACATGTTGTCTGGCTCTTCATCAAAACATTTTTATAATAATAATAATTGTACTTCGTCGTCCACATCTTTTTTCCAATTTATGGAAGAAATGTGTCCAAAATAAATACCTTATAGAATCCCACTGACTGACATGTATGTATATTCAGACCGTAAGGAGAGAAGCATGCATGACAGCATGCATGAAGGAAAGTGAGTGACCAATAGGAGAAGACAAAAACAGCAAGTCTCTTACCGTTCCATGGGAGATAGTCAGGAACCCGTTCTTCACTGAACACTTCCTCTTTTGCCACACTTTCCTGAGACTGAAGAAGAGTAAACATTCATTATTTCACTACAACACTTCTCTATTCCTCTACAGTACAGCTTCTATAATCACCAAATCACAACAAATTCCAGAAAGTGTACAGTATTATTTGGAGCCATTATTGCATGGAACTCCCTTCCATCTCATATTGCTAAAATGAAACACAAACCTGGTTTAAAAAAACAGATAAAGCAACACCTCACGGCACAACGCCTCTCCCCTATTTGATAGTTTGTGTGTATGTATTGATATGTAGGCTGTGTGTGCCATTTTTAAATTTATGTAGTTCTGTCCTTGAGCGGTTGTTGTCTATTAATGTTCTGTATTATGTCATGTTTCATGTTTTGTGTGGACCCCAGGAAGAGTAGCTGCTGCTTTCACAACAGCTAATGGGGATCCTAATAAAATACCAAACCAAACCATTTCATGAGCAGCAAATGAAATCATGTATGTGCAGAGGCCATCATATCACCCCATCGCCACGATTAAAACCACATTTCCCTGCCTTTGGCGGGGAAACAAACAGCTCTTCTTGGCTCTGTGTAAGAGATCAGAGGCCAAATTGGTGATTGAGGCTCTGTCAACTCACCCCTCACTCTTCTTGTACAGCATTCCACAGCGTTCTGTGCCATGGGCCTTATTCCCCTGGAGCTGGTGAAGGCTGTATCCTGTCTGCTTGGCCTGGGTATCCTAATGCATCAGAGACACACTCAGTCATGAGGACATAACACTTCTCCCATCTCTCATAGCTCAGGTGTTCATCTGAATCAAGTTTCTTCAACGTCCTCTCCTGAAGGCCTATTCTACTCTACACTGCTTAAAGATGATGGTGCTTTGCAATTCTATATAGCCCTGTATGAAGCGAGCCATTGATTACTTTTTGGTTCTACATAGCACCATTTCTTCTAGCAGTGTAGGTGAACACCTTGCAGCCTTATTTCGATATATTCAAATAGAGTGAGTGACTCTGGAATCTGGAAGCAATAGAGATTTGCATGGAGGGCTTGAGCAGAGCCTTGCAATCTGAAAAGATTACAGATATCAATGTCACCAGTGGTCAGGATGTTTGGAAGCTGTTTTTAAGAACATTGGTTAATAACATTGATGATGGCTGTGTCCCAAATAGCACCCTATGGGCCCTGGTAAAAGGTAGTGCACTATATAGGGAATAGGGTGCTTTGGAGGTTCAAAGAGAGAAAAAGGCTTGATTGGGGAAAGAGCTAAAGTTCACCAAGAAAGCACACATTCACTCTCCTAGCCACTGGGAGATCAGTCTATAGGCTCTATGCACGCATCACTTCCGCATTGGCCTAAGGATGCTTGGGCATTTCCGGTTACCGGAAAAAAACATTAGACAGCGACAGTAGACCGTTATGATGGCAGAGATGAAGTTTACAAGGTGTTTGCTGGAGTTGCCTAAAGTATCTGTTAATGATATATACGGAGGGTCGTCCGGACATCCAGTACGACACCACGTAGCAAACTGGATAAAGGCTTCAAATTTTAAGTTTCTTCTTTTCTTTGCAACTTTGAAGGTAATATGCTAAATCTAGCTAGCCTGAGCTAGAAGCCTTGCTTTGGTGTTTTAAATCATGACTCCGTCCTGTTTCAGGTTAATCATGGTTTAAATAAAGTTTAATCATGTGTATATACCTCTCACTTCATGTGTTTGTACTTTTATGAAAGTATCAGGTAAAAACAGGGCTACAAATGAGATCTCTGAGAGCCCACTGCTACCGCTCAATGAAGAAACTAATGCCACCACACCAGCTGAGAGTAGCACTAGATTAAGTGACACGTTCAAAGTTCTGTTGAACTTGTTCAAGGTTCCGTTCAACACATGTTTTACCCGTTTAATGTTACCACAGCTTTGATTGCCATTGCTAAGAGAACACTTTAGAACTTTAGTGGTTTTCACGATAGCTGAACAGTGGTAGCTAATACAGACCAGGGTAGCTGAGTGGGAATTGCCATGCTTTGTTGTTGGGTCTGTTGTAAACAAATTGGAGTTTGGTTTGAAATGTAAACAATAATGAGATTACTACTTTTTCCTGACTTGATGACAGTAACATATTCCACTCAGCTATTCTTCAAACTGCTGATGGTCTACTCAAAACTGTCCTGTCATCTTTACTTCTTTCTTTATAAACATATGGCCCAACTTCCTTGCTTTTGTACTTGATGTTTCTACTTCTCAAGAGGAATTAGGAGCAAAACCTTCACTCTACTGTTGTTATTGGTACTAGGCTACAATGTTGCACCACTCTCCTACTGCTCTGCCAATACTGTTTGAAGGTAGGTAAATGGCACAAGACAATAGGTAAGTGGTGGGAGACAGTATAGCCAAGTGGTGCAAGACAGTAGGAAAGTGATGCAGAAAGCACAAAAGTGACACGAGACAGTAGATAAGTTGCTTACACCAGTAAAAAGTAGAAAGAACAAGTTTTGCTCCTACTCCTGCTGCTGTAGACCCTCGTCTTTCAAAACCCATTAAATTATGCTTCTGTGTATTTCAAATGACATTGCGTGATTCACAGCCAGTTGTGCTTGTTAAAAGCTACTGTTCCTGTGTGTGGGATATGCAATCATTTGGTTGCATTACTATATTAGACTGCCCATTACTCTGAATGTGGCATGTCTGTCGTCCCTCCTGTACTTTCGTGCACTGAAACAGAGCAGAAGTGGCATAAACCACGAACAATGGTTTGTATCATTTCAATACCAGACAGTTGTGTCACATGCATACTAGCATCTCTCCTAATACCATCTCATAAATAAATAGGGAGTGAAGCCAGGACCTGTGGATGCCATGGTTGTAGTGAAGCCCAAACCAGATGCTACTCCGGCAAGCAGAGTCCAATTAAACAGGCAGACTACAATGTGTTGCGAAATAAATGTTATTAATCGCTGTTAGATTCTGGTGTATTTCCTAGTGAACCCTTTATTTTTCCTGATATTGTTATTCCAGATCTACACTTTACAAGGGCTACAGCGGTGAGCTACCAGAAACATCAACCCTCAACCCACTACCTGCCTATGCTGACATGGAACCAGACTCTCTTCCCCTTATCTGCAGAATGAACATCACATCTGACAAACCACTCGTGGACTCCATTTTTGGCAAGGTACAAACTGGCAGTATCCTGTCATATCAACCCCCACCACCTCCACCTGACAGTGTGGTCATCCATGAGGATGCACCACCGTTCCCAAAAGTGCCACTGGACGGTTACCATTTACAACCAACAGACTGTTCATACGAGATCATGACGGATCAAGAAAAGCTTCACCTCAGTTCTCTGTCTGTGACTTTGTCACAGTCACACCTGATTGAGGAAGCAACCAGATGCCAAAGTGATACACCCGAGTGGAATTCACTGAGGAAGGAGAGAGTGACTGCTTCACATTTCCGGGAGGTAAGCCATGTTAAAGGTACAAGCACAGCAGAAAAACTGGCAGAAAGAATTATCAGAGGGACAAGACAAACACCACTAATGAAAAGGGGGCTGGAAATGGAAGCAGGTGCATTGAAGGACTATGCAGTTCTAAAAAATCTTAATCTGACAAAGTGTGGGCTAGTCGTGTATCCGGACGCACCTTGGCTGGGTGCATCGCCTGATGGGCTGGTATAAGACCCACTTGAGCTACCATCATTTGGTCTAGTTGAAATGAAATGCCCAAATGTAGCCAGCTACATATACTGCAAGTTCCTGAGATTTGACCACGGCCTACAAAATTGAAGGAAAGCCATTGTTATTATTGGCAAGTCCAGGGACAGTTACTCATCACAGGCATGGAACAGCTCCCTTCTTCAGACGTCTGCGCCCAGCTGGAGTCGGAGGCTCTATCACATCTTCACTTAGAAAGTGTCGGCTGCAGACTCGTGTGTTTGTTGTAAGAAAGTTGACTCGTCGAATGTTAATCACCCACCGTTTATGTAATTCACTGTCTTTGGGAAAAGTAAAAAAACTAACAGAAGAATTGCATCTGGCAGACACTGTACATTGCGGCACACAGCAGTGATGGCTGGAAGAGCTGTCATCCCGTTTTTGAAAGGACACTTTCGTACGTTTACACGTCACCGTGTTATAAGTCAAGACGAAGTATTACAAGTAAAAGCTTTAACATAAACATTAAGATAAACAACAACAACGAAAATTAACCGTTTCGGATGTTTTTGACGACAAGCATTCAATGCTAGCATACGGTAGCACAGCATTCTACGATAACCGGAAGTTTACATCCATCCTGAGATTTAACCGGAAATATGTCATGCTCGCCTGTGCATATCGCCTAATGCATTGTAACTGTAAGTCAGGAGCCACATGACACAACACATAAGACCATTCATCCTCTCTGCTACCAGGCTAATGTAACTGGTGGGATCTGAACACTGGTCTCCTACTCAGGAAACCAACGGCTTAAGGTGACACTAGTTTTAAGTCGCAGGAGTGTGAATCTAAATCACCTCCGCTACTTACTCCAGTGATTGAGAGCTCACCTCTTTCTGTTCGGACTGTAGGGAGGACTTGAGAACATCTCTAAGCTCACTCAGCTGTTTCCTCTCTCCATCTTGGGTCTGTTTGATCTGAGAAACAGGAAGTGGGAGAGTGACACTTTTTTTTTAATATACAGTTGAAGTCAGAAGTTTACATACACCTTAGCCAAATACATTTAAACTCAGTTTTTCACCATTCCTGACATTTAATCCTAGTAAAAATTCCCTGTCTTAGGTCAGGATCACCGCTTTATTTTAAGAATGTGAAATGTCAGAATAATAGTAGAGAGAATGATTTATTTCAGCTTTTATTTATTTCATCACATTCCCAGTGGGTCAGAAGTTTACATACACTCAATTAGTATTTGGTAGCATTGCCTTTAAATTGTTTAACTTGGGTCAAACGTTTCGGGTAGCCTTCCACAAGCTTCCCACAATAAGTCCCCATTCCTCCTGACAGAGCTGGTGTAACTGAGTCAGGTTTGTAGGCCTCCTTGATTGCACATGCTTTTTCAGTTCTGCTCACAAATCTTCTATGGCCGGCAGGGGATGTAGCTCAGTTGGTAGAGCATGGCGTTTGCAACGCCAGGGTTGTGTGTTCAATAAAATAATGTATGCGCTAACTGTAAGTCGCTCTGGATAAGAGCGTCTGCTAAATGACTAAAATGTAAATGTAAATGTATAGGATTGAGGTCAGGGCTTTGTGATGGCCAGTCCAATACCTTGACTTTGTTGTCCTTAAGCCATTTTGCCACAACTTTGGAAGTATGCTTGGGGTCATTGTCCATTTGGAAGACCCATTTGCGACCAAGCTTTAACTTCCTGACTGTTGTCTTGAGATGTTGCTTCAATATATCCACAACATTTTCCTTCCTCATGATGCCATCTATTTTGTGAAGTGCACCAGTCCCTCCTGCAGCAAAGCCCCCCCCCCTCCCCACAGCATGATGCTGCCACAACACACAATCAAGTCTACATGAAAATGGCTAAAAAGCAACAAATTGGAAGTTTTGGAATGACCTAGTCAAAGTCCAGACCTAATCCCAATTGAGATGTTGTGGCAGGACTTGAAACAAGCAGTTCATGCTTGAAAACCCTCACGTCACTGAGTTAAAGCAGTTCTGCATGGAAGAGTGGGCCAAAATTCCTCCACAGCGACGTGAGAAACTGATCAACAACTACAGGAAGCATTTGGTTGGAGTCATTGCAGCTAAAGGTGGCACAACCAGTTATTGAGTGTAAGGGGGCAATTACTTTTTCACACAGGGGAATTGGGTGTTGCATAACTTTGTTTATGAAATAAATGAAATAAATGTGTAATCGTTGTGTTATTTGTTCACTTATGTTCCCTTTATCTAATATTAGGTTTTGGTTGAAGATCTGATAACATTCAGTATCACAAATATGCAAAAGTAGAGAAAATTAGAAAGGGGGCAAATACTTTTTCATAGCACTGTAGATACATTTGTACCCGTTTCATCCAGCATCTTCACAAGGTCCTTTGCTGTTGTTCTGGGATTGATTTGCACTTTTCGCACCAAAGTACGTTCATCTCTAGGAGACAGAACGCGTCTCCTTCCTGAGCGGTATGACGGCTGTATGGTCCCATTGTGTTTCTACTTGCGTACTATTGTTTGTACAGATGAACGTGGTACCTTCAGGCGTTTGGAAATTGCTCCCAAGGATGAACCAGACTTGTGGAGGTCTACAATTTTTTTTCTGAGGTCTTGGTTGATTTCTTTTGATTTTCCCATGATGTCAAGCAAAGAGGCACTGAATTTGAAGGTAGGCCTTGAAATACATCCACAGGTACACCTCCAATTGACTCAATGATGTCAATTAGCCTATCAGAAGCTTCTAAAGCAATTTTTCTGAAATTTTCCAAGCTGTTTAAAGGCACAGTCAACTTAGTGTATGTAAACTTCTGACCCACTGGAATTGTGATACAGTGAATTATAAGTGAAATAATTTGTCTGTAAACAATTGTTGGAAAAATGACTTGTGTCATGCACAAAGTAGATGTCCTAACCGACTTGCCAAAGCTATAGTTTGTTAACAAGAAATTTGGTTGAAAAAGTGGTTGAAAAACATGGTTGAAAAACGAGTTTTAATGACTCCAACCTAAGTGTATGTAAACTTCCGACTTCAACTGTATACATTTTTTACTCCCCAATTACAGTCTTGTCCCATCGTTGCAACTCCTGTACGGACTCGGGAGAGGCGAAGGTCAAGAGCTGTGCGTCCTCCGAAACACAACCCCGCCAAGCCGCACTGCTTCTTGACACAATGCACGCTTAACCAGGAAGCCAGCCGCACCAATGTGTCGGAGGAAACACCGTACACCTGGCGACCGTGTCAGCGTGCATGCGCCCAGCCCGCCACAGGAGTCGCTACAGTGCGATGGGTCAAGGACATCCCGGCCGGCCAAACACTCCCCTAACCCAGACAACGCTGGGCCAATTGTGCGTCAGCTCATGGTTCTCCCAGTCGCAGCCGGCTGCGACACAGCCTGGTATCGAACCAGAATCTGTAGTAACGCAGCTTGCTCTGCGATGCAGTGCCTTGACCGCTGCGCCACTCGGGAGGCCCGAGTGACACATTATTGACAGACAGGCAGTAAAACCATGGCAACATCCAAAGAGAATATTATAAAATATGGATGTGTGGAGAGAGTGGCTCACTGTAGTCAAGTCTGTAGCCAGTTTCTCTATGGAAGGTTTGAGGCTATTTACTGTGTTCAGACCATCCTGGAAGAAGCTGTGAGGAGAGAGGAAACAGAGATCACCAGGAGTCAAGATGGGTCAAGCATTTAGCCTCCTACAAAAGACAAATGCACTGACTAAACACTGCTAATCTGAAATCACTGGGTAAATGAAAACAACATACTTGCATTGGGCGTGAAAATATTTGATGAGGTTCTGGAGAAAGTCAACCCCCTTCTTCGTTTTAATTTCATTCACTTTGAGAAGATACTGTAGACAGAATAAGACACACAGAGTAACAATATCAATGGACATGTGTAAATACTCCTCAGTGGACCCTGTTGTGTCTTCTATCCTGCATAGCCTCTGATAGGTGAAATACTTAGATAGCCGGTTTCACTAGCCTGGTGCACCAGTCTGATCACAGATCTGTTTGTTCTCTATAGACAACTACCATGATCATTGTCATGCCACAACAAACAGTCCTGTCCTGTCCTCTCCATCACTCATGGTCCACCTTCTCACCTCACACATCTGGAGCTGAAAGATGCGTCTCTCCTTCTCCATCTCCTCAGCGATCTCTCCTCCACTGAACTCTGTCCGTATCATCCCATGCTGCTTAGCATGCTCCTTCTTCTCCTTCTCTATCTTAGTGCTGCAGGGAACACAGAGGTCTCAGTGATGATGATGAAGCACAGGATGAATGGATGAAGCAGGAAAATCATTCACTAATTAACATGATATCAATATTTACTCTCCTCAGTTTATGTTAAGAGTTATTAAATTGTTATCATTCCCTTACAGTGAGTCATCAAACCACCAGTCAATCACATCAACCAAAAGGCTCTATGACTCTACGCCACAGGTGTTTGGTACAAGGCATCAGTCTTTAGTAAACTAGTAACTCTTAAATGACTTGCCCAGCCCTCATACAGTGAACTAGAATGATCTTTATGTTAAGTAATTTATCAAATAAACGTATAAAAGAGCTTATTCATGTATTTCATGCCTGTCATGGTGAAAATGAAAAGATACTGTTGGGACGTCCAACATGTACCGTACAATTTCAGTAAAGTAAACCCCTTGTCTGTCCATACCGTAGTTCATTCAGCACTAAAGGAATCACAGACAGACAGAATCAGTGTTCACATAAATGTGAGGAGTTTTGTATTCACATACAAACAGGCAGCAGGTGCAGCTATAGCAGGCCTAGTCTCATTCTCTCTCTCCGAAGGTCTGTCTGCCTTATCAGCTGTTTCATGAATAGTAGCAGTTGACCTTTTACTAGCTTCCATTGTTTCCCCCTTTCTAGTTGTTGTAAAGCTGAACCCACACATGCAACTTCATGGTGCAGCTTACTCTTATTCTAACAGGTACTCAGGCTATTCAACGGAACTACCCCACCACCGACCACGTTTTCCTTGTGCTCGTAAGCTATAATCACTAACTTATGCTTAACCCACATACAGTATGAGGTGGTGAAACTCAAACGGTGGTGGTGGTGGTGAAACAGAGGGAGTTGTAATAATAATAACATGGCTCTAACTCACACTTTAGTTTCATAATCCTTCCAGGCTTTATCAAAAGGCTTTTTCAGATCCTGTGGAAATAAAACAGGAACATAACAGTATTAATACAAGGGATACAAATTATATGAGCTCAAGTCATGACTATCAAACTGGCTCAAAACTGTGATATTAAAGGTTAAAGGTCAGTCACATGCTCAGAAAGACCTTTACAATGCATTATTTGAATGACTGGATAGGAGTCAGGAGGACTAACCAGTGACTATCTATGTGTTCAAGATGACTAGTATGGGACAAGCCTACTCCCTCTTGTGTCACCGTGGTTTTGACTGGTATGGTAAAACACATGTTCTGACTGGTATGGTCAAACACATGATCTGACTGGTATGGTCAAACACATGATCTGACTGGTATGGTCAAACAGATGATCTGACTGGTATGGTCAAACACATGATCTGACTGGTATGGTCAAACAGATGATCTGACTGGTATGGTAAAACACATGATCTGACTGGTATGGTAAAACACATGTTCTGACTGGTATGGTAAACACATGATCTGACTGGTATGGTAAAACACATGATCTGACTGGTATGGTAAAACACATGATCTGACTGGTATGGTAAACAGATGATCTGACTGGTATGGTAAACACATGATCTGACTGGTATGGTAAACACATGATCTGACTGGTATGGTAAACACATGATCTGACTGGTATGGTAAAACACATGATCTGACTGGTATGGTAAACAGATGATCTGACTGGTATGGTAAAACAGATGATCTGACTGGTATGGTAAACAGATGATCTGACTGGTATGGTAAACAGATGATCTGACTGGTATGGTAAAACAGATGATCTGACTGGTATGGTAAACAGATGATCTGACTGGTATGGTAAACAGATGATCTTGATGGTATGGTAAACGAAGATGATCTGACTGGTATGGGCAAACAGAATGATCTGACTGGTATGGTCAAACACATGATCTGACTGGTATGGTTCAAACAGATGATCTGACTGGTATGGTAAAACACATGATCTGACTGGTATGGTCAAACACATGATCTGACTTTATGGTAAAAACACATGATCTGACTGGTATGGTAAACAGATGATCTGACTGGTATGGTCAAACAGATGATCTGACTGGTATGGTCAAACACATGATCTGACTGGTATGGTAAACAGATGATCTGACTGGTATGGTAAAACACATGATCTGACTGGTATGGTAAAACAGATGATCTGACTGGTATGGTCAAACACATGATCTGACTGGTATGGTAAAACACTGTATTTTATAACACATATAGTACACCTACCCCTTTGACCCCTTTCAGGTCTCCTTTCAGTAGACTGTCTAAGGGGAAGGTAATGATGTTGTTCATGTTCTGCAACTGAAAACAAGACACAGACAGTTAGAGAGAGAGAAAGAGTGATGTAGAGACAGACAGGTAGAGAGAGAGAAAGAGTGATGTAGAGACAGACAGACAGAGAGAGATAGAGACAGACAGACAGGAGAGGCCAGAGTGATGTAGAGACAGACAGGTAGAGATATAGACAGAGTGATGTAGAGACAGACAGTTAGAGAGAGAGAAAGAGTGATGTAGAGACAGACAGGTAGAGAGAGAGAAAGAGTGATGTAGAGACAGACAGACAGAGAGAGAGCCAGAGTGATGTAGAGACAGACAGGTAGAGATATAGACAGAGTGATGTAGAGACAGACAGTTAGAGAGAGAGAAAGAGTGATGTAGAGACAGACAGGTAGAGAGAGAGAAAGAGTGATGTAGAGACAGACAGACAGAGAGAGAGCCAGAGTGATGTAGAGACAGACAGGTAGAGAGAGAGCCAGAGTGATGTAGACAGACAGGTAGAGATATAGACAGAGTGATGTAGAGACAGACAGGTAGAGAGAGAGCCAGAGTGATGTAGAGACAGACAGGTAGAGATATAGACAGAGTGATGTAGAGACAGACAGGTAGAGAGAGAGCCAGAGTGATGTAGAGACAGACAGGTAGAGAGTATAGACAGAGTGATGTAGAGACAGACAGGTAGAGAAGAGCCAGAGTGATGTAGAGAGACAGACAGAGTAGAGATGATAGAGACAGAGTGATGTAGAGACAGACAGGTAGATAGAGACCAGAGTGATGTAGAGACAGACAGTAGAGAAGAGCCAGAGTGATGTAGAGACAGACAGGTAGAGAGACAGATAGACAGAGTGATGTAGAGACAGACAGGTAGAGAGAGAGCCAGAGTGATGTAGAGACAGACAGGTAGAGATATAGACAGAGTGATGTAGAGAGACAGACAGACAGAGTGATGTAGAGAGACAGACAGAGTGATATAGAGACAGAGAGATGTAGAGACGGTCAGACAGGGTGATATAGAGACAGAGTGATGTAGAGACAGACAGACAGAGTGATGTAGAGACCGAGTGATATAGAGACAGACAGACAGAGTGATGTAGAAACAGACAGGTAGAGAGACAGACAGACAGAGTGATGTAGAGACGGAGTGATGTAGAGACAGAGTGATGTAGAGACAGAGTGATGTAGAGACAGAGTGATGTAGAGACAGACAGGTAGAGAGACAGACAGACAGAGTGATGTAGAGACGGAGTGATGTAGAGACAGAGTGATGTAGAGACAGAGTGATGTAGAGACAGAGTGATGTAGAGACAGAGTGATGTAGAGACAGACAGGTAGAGAGACAGACAGAGTGATGTAGAGACCGAGTGATATAGAGACAGACAGACAGAGTGATGTAGAAACAGACAGGTAGAGAGACAGACAGACAGAGTGATGTAGAGACGGAGTGATGTAGAGACAGAGTGATGTAGAGACAGAGTGATGTAGAGACAGAGTGATGTAGAGACAGAGTGATGTAGAGACAGACAGGTAGAGAGACAGACAGAGAGTGATGTAGAGACGGAGTGATGTAGAGACAGAGTGATGTAGAGACAGAGTGATGTAGAGACAGACAGGTAGAGAGACAGACAGACAGAGTGATGTAGAGACGGAGTGATGTAGAGACAGAGTGATGTAGAGACAGAGTGATGTAGAGACAGAGTGATGTAGAGACAGACAGGTAGAGAGACAGACAGAGAGTGATGTAGAGACGGAGTGATGTAGAGACAGAGTGATGTAGAGACAGAGTGATGTAGAGACAGAGTGATGTAGAGACAGACAGGTAGAGACAGACAGGTAGAGACAGACAGACAGACAGAGTGATGTAAAGACAGAGTAATGTAGAGACAGAGTGATGTAGAGACAGAGTGATGTAGAGACAGAGTGATGTAGAGACAGAGTGATGTAGAGACAGAGAGAGAAAGAAAGCCTGGTTAGGCTGTGTCTCTGTGTGTGTCTGTGTGTGTGTCTGTGTGATGGGGTCTCACCAGGTTCTTGAAGAGGGCTGTGAGCTCTTTGGTAAAGATGGCGAACTTGAGGAAGGCTGAGCCCACCTCCGGATCCTCTCTAGAGACACAGCTGTCCCCAAACTTCTCCAGAGACTGAATGTATTGCTCGTCATTGTCAACGTGGGCTGAGAAAAACACACACAGGGGTTACTTACAGTCAGAAGTCAAATCAAGTCAAATCAGAGTTTGTGTAAAGGTGATTTTGCATGGGTCACAAACACACTTTACATCATTAAAAACGAATCAAAGAGGCTTTACACAGACTCTTCTATTAATATTATCCCCTATGCAATCCCATGGGAGTTAGTGAGACTTTTAGTGGACATTTCATATATCCCTGTTATACTGTCCATTTTCTAAATTGACCTGACCTGAAAAATGACAAGTTAGGTCTATGAAAAATCACTTCTAAGCTTGAGGAAGGCAAATACATTCAATTAAATACAACTTTATCCCCTCAGGGGCATAAATAAAGTGTCTCAGAGTGCTGACAGTCAGATGGCTTCATGAGGCAACACTATAGAGGAATTATCTCTGTAAAACAGGAAGCTGGCTTGGATGTGCTGTTCAATCAATCAATCAAATGTGTTTATAAAGCCCTTTTTACATCAGCAGATGTCACAAAGTGCTATACAGAAACCCAGCCTAAAACCCCAAACAGCAAGCATTGCAGATGTAGAAGCACATGCAGGACCATGCAGGAGCTTCACTAGAACAGAGTGCATGTACAAGAAACAGGATGAAAATCGTTCTACTACTTTCCTGACTGACTCCCCACCAGTCCCAACTCTTTTAGCTGCCTTAAATACATTACATAAATTCTAGCTAAATCCTAGCTAAAAACACCTAACCCGGTCTGTCTGTGCTGTCTTGCCAACTCAATAACTATATGAGTTGTCAACTCAAGACCAGCACAAACAGATCTGGGACCAGACTAACGATGCCATTCTTACACAGCCGTTTTATAACAGTGAACAGCATGTAAGGCCTGTAAAGTGTGTGTAAAAACTCAGAGTTTAGTTTACACAGCAGCTCCAAACAAAAGCAACGTGAATGAATGATATGTACCCATTGATTCTTGAAGAATATAATTTAGAAATGCCTCATGAGCTTAGTTCAACTGTCTTACCTGATCAGAACCCAAAACATAAGCTTGTTTTCCCCAATGTTTGCAAACAACATAAATGTAAACAAACACTGTTTACCCACAAAACATGGTTAAAACTATACATTTAATATAATGGATGGTCAGTTATTGCATCCATAGCTCTGTCTCAATTTGAGACGGCTTTTTAGCGAAACAGGGGCAGGGAAAATGCCTTGTTAATGTTTCAATTAAGGATTCTAGCTTTAAGGTATTTCCAGCATGTGCAGATCCAACTATGGTTAGAGCCATGATTATCAGCCCCTGATCCGTATCAAAAACACCCCAGGATTATGACCCTGGGCCTGGGATGTCACTGGAAGGTCTGTGGGCTGGGTGGAGGGTGGAGAGGGACAGTCACAGAAGAAAAGGGCCTGGGTCTAACTGAGTAGGGACCTTTAATATACCGTATTATAGGAAGGACTGGAGTTACTAAAGACACACCTATGCTCCTTAGGCCTGCTGGGACAGGTGTGTGGAATGAGAGGAATGTGGTGAGGTGCTATACACTATACTTCGCTCTCTCTCTCTCTCTCTGAGGTTACACTTCCACTGTCTCAACACAGAACTCATCCAATTCCTGTAACAGTCTCTTTCCCATAGTTTAATTTCCAGGTGGGGCACGAAGGCCCCAAAAGTAAATCCACGCCCTCAAAATTGTCAATGGTAAGGTAAACACTGCTGTAACACCAATCTGTGTCACCACCAGGACTGTTTTCAGACCCTGATCTGCTGCAATAAAACTGTAAAAGGTGCATAAAGAGGTCAACACATAATGCAGTTACATGACTGTGTGGAGATTGTGTGTGTGCACCAAGATACACTAAATATTCCTGTTCAGAGTCAGACACACTCATATTATTGTGTAATATATTGAGATATACCAACATGCTGCACAACTGGAGTACAGAGGTTAGTGGGTGTAGATGCTATTTACATTATGAGTGTATGGAAACTACACCAGGACTGAGTCACTCACTAATGTACTGTAATGTGTTGTACTGTACTCACCCAGGCCAGAGTTGTTTATGGCCTTGACAGACTTCTTGATCTTGTGAAGTACTCCTCTGTCTACATCTAGCGCCTGTAGGGAGAGGGAACACATCTATGAGTCAGGAAGTATACAGAAATCTCCCCCCCCCCCCCCCCCAAGCCCTACTGTTTACACAGTAACAACACAAACATGGCAACATGCCAGCCAAGCCCACGCTATGCCTGCACAACCATAATGCTATAGCGATAGCCAGCCACTCTGTGTGCATCCCAAATGGCACCATATTCCCATAGGGCTCTGATTAAAAGTACTGCACTTCTAGGATACAATCTCTGATATGGAAGCTCAGAAACCATAGAGAGAGGCTGTAAGAACAAGGAAATGGTTTGTGGGAAAACCACACTTGGATGGTATGGTCCTGTAATGGCCTACTAAAAAATGTAGAGAAATACATTAGATGAGCTCATTCAACTGACACATTTAGCCATTCCCGTGTGAATTTATATGTACAGTAATTACTAAGTTTCTTGGGTGAGCAGATGACAATGCTGTGTCCTTGGTTGATGTGTCAGCCATTCTCTTTCAGACTATCGTGCAGACCCAAACCAAATTGTTTTGTTTTACTCCACATTGTCCGCTCAGTGGACACCACCCAGCCCAGGCAGCCCAGTGGACACTCACCCAGCCCAGGCGACACTCACCCAGCCCAGGCAGCCCAGTGGACACTCACCCAGCCCAGGGAGCCCAGTGGACACTCACCCAGCCCAGGCAGCCCAGTGGACACTCACCCAGCCCAGGGAGCCCAGCGGACACCAGGCAGCCCACTGGGCACAGACGTCAATTCATTTACATTCTAATCATTTAGCAGACGCTCTTATCCAGAGCGACTTACAGTTAGTGAGTGCATACATTTTCATACTGGTCCCCCGTGGGAATCGAACCCACAACCCTGGCGTTGCAAGAGCCATGCTCTACAAACTGAGCTACACAGGACCACGTTGGTGCAACGTAATTTCATTAAAATGATGTGGAAACAACGTTGATTCAACCAGTGTGTGCCCAGCGGACAGGCTGGGACAGGCTGGGCAGTCAGAGAGAGAGGAAGATGAAAAGAAAGAGAGAAAGAGAGATAGCATGCTGGGACAGGAGTGCATCAGCCCAGCCCAGGCCCCAGGGACTCTCCCAGGATGCAGCAGTGATCTACGTTACATGTAGCCAGGCAGCTAGAGCTTTGTTCTGAGCTAGACTACACTAGACTAGAGAGTGATCCTCCTCTGAGACTCTGTGGTAGTGTTCCCCACCACATACAGTGGGGAGAACAAGTATTTGATACACTGCCGATTTTGCAGGTTTTCCTATTTACAAAGCATGTAGAGGTCTTTAATTTTTATCATAGGTACACTTCAACTGTAAGAGACGGAATCTAAAACAAAAATCCAGAAAATCACATTGTATGATTTTTAAGTAATTAATTTGCATTTTATTGCATGACATAAGTATTTGATAAATCACAAAAGCAGAACTTAATATTTGGTACAGAAACCTTTGTTTGCAATTACAGAGATCATACGTTTCCTGTAGGTCTTGACCAGGTTTGCACACACTGCAGCAGGGATTTTTTTTTTGACCGTCATCTTGAACTTCTTCCATTTTCTAATAATTGCGCCAACAGTTGTTGCCCTCTCACCAAGCTGCTTGCCTATTGTCCTGTAGCCCATCCCAGCCTTGTGCAGGTCTTCAATTTTATCCCTGATGTCCTTACACAGCTCTCTGGTCTTGGCCGTTGTGGAGAGGTTGGAGTCTGTTTGATTGAGTGTGTGGACAAGTGTCTTTTATACAGGTAACGAGTTCAAACAGGTGCAGTTAATACAGGTAATGAGTGGAGAACAGGAGGGCTTCTTAAAGAAAAATTAACAGGTCTGTGAGAGCCGGAATTCTTAATGGTTGGTAGGTGATCAAATACTTATGTCATGCAATAAAATGCAAATTAATTACTTAAAAAACATACAATGTGATTTTCTGGATTTTTGTTTTAGATTCCGTCTCTCACAGTTGAAATGTACCTATGATAAAAATTACAGACCTCTACATGCTTTGTAAGTAGGAAAACCTGCAAAATCGGCAGTGTATTAAATACTTGTTCTCCCCACTGTAGCTCTGGTCCAGGGCATTACGTGCAGCTTGCTGACACTGAGGCTTCCTGGACCAGAGCTACCCACCATGCAACACAGGCAACCAAACAGCACGACACTCCAGTCCACAGTGATACTGTCATCAACAGGCAGGCAGCCACAGTAGGCTGCTACAGGTACTGTAAGGCAGATAAGAGGAACTGGGAAGGAGAGTGCTGCCTGTCAGTTGACCTGATGTAAAAACCGCCATTACTGCTGCCTGCCTGCAGTGTTGTTCTTTCAACATGAGTGAAGTGTATGTGCTTGTATGTGTGTTTATGTCCAACTTGATATTCACTATGTGTTCACTATTAACTGTGAAATCAAAAAGGGAGAGAGGGGAAAGATCTGTTTGACTTTCAGTTGTGAAACAGAGAAAGCCATTGCAATACAACACTTCCTTGTTTAGACAGATTCAACTTAATGTAACACCTCTCCTCATGTGTTATATTCTGCAACACTGTACACACATCAGCAGATCCTCTCATAGGGCTGTGTGTGTGTGTGTGTGTGTGTGTGTGTCTTCCTCCATTGTGCAAACACAGTATGCCGTAATATGGATAGGCCCTTCACTGAGACAACAATCCAGTGATTCATACAGCCTGCCGTAAGGCCAGTAGTGTATCAGTGGCATAGAGAGACCACTTCCTTATTACCAGCCTATTACCAGCCTGGCCTGGGACAACAGCACATCTCCAGAGACCAATCAAGAGCAGATCTGAATGGCAACAGATGACGAGTGGCGCAGCGGTCTAATGCACTGTATCTCAGTACTAGAGGCGTCACTAAAGACCATGGTTTGATTCCAGGCTGTATCACAATCCGGCCGTGATTGGGAGTCCCATAGGGCGGCGCACAATTGGCCCAGCGTTGGCCGGGTTTGGCCGTCATTGTACATAAGAATGTGTTCTTAACTGGCTTGCCTGGTGAAATACCTTTTTTTTTATGCCAGGGATGCCATAGAAACACCCATTGTGATCTACCGCGCACTACAGTAGTCCTTATGCCAACAACACAAGGGTTATGTCCCAAATAGTCCAGCCATATGAATGCCATTAGGGACCTAGTAAGGAAAACCAATTCAACTGATATGGATGTGTGAGGGACCCACTGTGTATTAAAGGTGTGGTACTACTATTCAAGTTTGTAAAGGGCTCAAGACTCTTTAACATGTAGAAGTGAGTAAGTGGCGCAGTGGTCTAAGGCACTGCGATGCAGTGCTAACTGTGCCACTAGAGATCCTGGTTCGAATCCAGGCTCTGTCGCAGCCGGCCGCGACCGGGAGACTCATGGGCGGCGCACAATTGGCCAAGCGTCGTCCAGGATAGGGGAGGGAATGGCCGGCAGGGATGTAGCTCAGTTGATAGAGCATGGCGTTTGCAACGCCAGGGTTGGGTTCGATTCCCACGGGGGGCCAGTATAAAAAAATATGTATTCACTAACTGTAAGTCGCTCTGGATAAGAGCGTCTGCTAAATGACTAAAAATGTAAAGTGAAACTGCCTCTTAGGCAAACAGATATGATAGCTTCCTCACAATGGGGTAAGGCATTTTTGCATAAGTCACAGAGATGTTTGTAGCTTACAATAATGACATCTTTAAAATATGCTCAAGCCTCTTTAACATGTGGCACTGTTTTCAAAGTGAAACTGCCTTGTAGCACAATGTGTCAACTAAATGTTTTTGTCTATAGATTGCTGAATGGCATTGGTTTAGAATGGAATACCTATAAACTCAATTTGTAAGTCGCTCTGGATAAGAGCGTTTGCTAAATGACGTAAATGTAAATGTAAACTATGGTGTGGGCACTTGTTGGTGGACACTTGTGGGGAATGGCATGGGCGAGGTTCAACACAACTAGGATAAGAAAATATGCTTTGATTTCGCAAAGAGAAAGTATTTTTTTCGTTCCTATTTTGGGTTCAGAAGTTGTAACCGTATCACTTTCAGGGAAACTGAACAAACTCGACAAATAATTGTGTAAGAATGCGGTTAGGCCTAGGCCTACTATGTGCGTAAAGGCTACAGGTGCGTAAAGGCGCACATGTAAATCTAAGAACACCTTTTCACATTTCGAGTCAATTATATTAGTTTTCACACTGGCCTGCACCCACCTCTTCTAATGCTGCCACGGCGTTCCGACAATGGGACATCCGAGTGGTGAAGTTTGAGGTCGTGGGCGCTTTGTAGTCCTCGTTAGTTTCAGCCACAAATTCCGTGACCGTGATTAACTCCGGCGGCGGCATTTTAGCTCACTGTAAATGCGTTTACGTCTATAAAATACTTTATTTCCCAATCTTTAATTGAGGAAGCAATAGTCAGTTTCACAAAAAAACACCCAAAGGTTATGTAAGATTTATAATTCAAAGTGTGCCATAGGATTTGTTAGGCTACTCCCAAGTTTGCCATTCCGGTTTCTGCGTCGATCCACATACAGTAAAAACTACAGTAGTAAAATGTCCCTTTATTTGTGGGTTATCGTTGTATCCACTTCGAATAAAAAAATAGTCCAATATTCCATTATTCCAGTTTGCCCACGCAATAAAATAATTAAAAACAAAGTTAAATCGCTTCACTTTCTCACTGTGGTCTATCCCACCAGCCCCAGTTTAAACAACAACCTGGACTTACTGTGACTGAGAGCATACATTGGAGCGTCAACCTCAACATAGAAAGGGGCGGGACGAACGCGTGAATTTGCATGTTTGGGCGAATAGGAGCAAAGATGGATTTACCTTTGCTCAGTTGGCGTTCAACACTCACTAGCAATGACAGCTATGTCAAAAGTTGAGGATAAGGTGGCTCCGGCAATAGGTATGCGCCATAGGAATGATAACTTTATTTATGAATGATTAGTTACTAATTACTTTTCAAAATGGTGTACCTCATAAATAGGTACATGGCCAAGATGTTGCAGATTGATATAAATAAAAAAGGTTAAGGGTTAAGATATACAGCATGTACAGTACCAGTCAAAAGTTTGGACACACCTACTCATTCAAGGGTTTTTCTTTATTTTTACATTGTAGAATAATAGTGAAGACATCAAAACTATGAAATAACACATATGGAATCATGTAGTAACCAAAAAAGTGTTAACAAATCAAAATATATTTTATATTTGAGATTCTTTAAATAGCCACCCTTTGCCTTGATGACAGCTTTGCACACTCTTGGCATTCTCTCAACCAGCTTCATGAGATAGTCACCTGGAATGCATTTCAATTAACAGGTGTGCCTTCTTAAAAGTTAATTTGTGGAATTTAAACCGCCGTGTCTTTGTGAGACGCGGTGTGGGTGAACGGATGATCTCCACATGTGTAGTTCCCACCGTAAAGCATGGAGGAAGAGGTGTTATGCTGTGGGGGTGCTTTGCTGGTGACACTGTCTGTGATTTATTTAGAATTCAAGGCACACTTAACCAGCATGGCTACCACAGCATTCTGCAGCAATACGCCATCCCATCTGGTTTGGGCTTAGTGGGAGTATCATTTGTTTTTCAACAGGACAAAGACCCAACACACCTCCATGCTGAGTAAGGGCTATTTTACCAAGAAGGAGAAGGAACTTCTGGATGCAATTAAAGACTTTAAGTCCAGGAAAACTCCAGGGTTGGATGGCATACCAGTCGAGGTATACCAAACCTTTTTTGATATACTCAGAGGACTGTTATTAGCATGTTTTAACCACTCCTATGTAAATGGTAGATGATCAGACACTCAAGAAGAAGGTCTGATTTCATTGTTACTGAAACAGGATACAAGTGGAAAATATAAAGATCCAATAAAAAGATCCAAATTGGAGGCCCCTTACACTTCAGTGTTGTGATGCAAAAATTCTAGCAAAATGTATAGCGCATAATAATAATAATAATAATATGCCATTTAGCAGACGCTTTTATCCAAAGCGACTTACAGTCATGCGTGCATACATTTTTGTGTATGTGTGGTCCCGGGGATTGAACCCACTACCTTGGCGTTACAAGCGCCGTGCTCTACCAGCTGAGCTACAGAGGACATCATAGAATTAAAAAGGTATAGTCTGACATTATTAATTATAATCAGACAGGTTTTTTACATGGACAATATATTGGAGATAATATAAGGCAAGTACTGGAAACAATAGAACACTATGAAAAATCTGGGAAACCAGGCCTGCTATTCATAGCAGACTTTAAAAAGACATTTGATAAAGTACGACTGGGGTTTATATATACAGTGAGGGAAAAAAGTATTTGATCCCCTGCTGATTTTGTACGTTTGCCCACTGACAAAGAAATTATCAGTCTATAATTTTAATGGTAGGTTTATTTGAACAGTGAGAGACAGAATAACAACAAAAAATCCATAAAACATGGAGGTGGAAACATTATGCTTTGGGGATGTTTTTCTGCTAAGGGGACAGGACAACTTTACCGCATCAAAGGGACGATGGACAGGGCCGTGTACCATCAAATCTTGGGTGAGAACCTCCTTCCCTCAGCCAGGGCATTGAAAATGGATCGTGGATGGGTATTCCAGCATGACAATGACCCAAAACACACGGCCAAGGCAACAAAGGAGTGGCTCAAGAAGAGGCACATTAAGGTCCTGGAGTGGCCTAGCCATTCTCCAGACCTTAATCTCATAGAAAATCTGTGGAGGGAGCTGAAGGTTCGAGTTGCCAAACGTCAGCCCCGAAACCTTAATGACTTGGAGAAGATCTGCAAAGAGGAGTGGAACAAAATCCCTCCTGAGATGTGTGCAAAGGGTTTTGCCACCAAGTACTAAGTCATGTTTTGCAGTGGGGTTAAATACTTATTTCCCTCATTAAAATGCAAATCAATTTATAACATTTTTGATTTTTTTGTTGTTATTCTGTCTCTCACTGTTCAAATAAACATACCATTAAAATTATAGACTGATCATGTCTTTGTCAGTGGGCAAACGTACAAAATCAGCAGGGGATCAAATACTTTTTTCCCTCACTGTAAATGCCTGGAGCATTTCTATTTTGGAGACTCTCTTATGTAATGGGTTAAAATCATGTATAGTAACCCTAGGTGTAAAATAGTAAATAATGGCTATTTCCCCTAAAGTTTTAAACTGTCAAGAGGAGTGAAACAAGGTTGTCCACTATCGGCATATCTATTTATTATGGCCATCGAAATGTTAGCTATTAAAATCAGATCCAATAATAATATCAAGGGATTAGAAATCCAGGGCTTAAAAACAAAAGTGTCATTGTATGCTGATGATTCATGTTTTCTTTTAAATCCACAACTTGAATCCCTCCACAGCCTCATAGAGGATCTAGATACATTTTCTAACCTCTCTGGATTACAACCAAATTATGATAAATGTACTATATTACGTATTGGATCACTAAAAAATACAATTTTTACATTGCCATGTAGTTTACCAATAAAATGGTCTGATGGTGATGTAGATATACTCGGAATACATATCCCAAATGAAATAAATGATCTCACTCCAATAAATGTTAATAGAAAGTTAGCAAATACCTGGCAATTTGGGAAAAAAATCACCCTGATTAACTCTTTAGTATTATCCCAGTTTATCTATTTGCTTATGGTATTGCCCATGCGAACAGTTTTTTAAATTATATGAGAAAAAAATATTCCATTTTATTTGGAACGGCAAGCCAGACAAAATTAAACGGGCCTATTTATATAATGAATATGAATTCGGAGGACAGAAATTATTAAATATTAAAGCATTAGACCAATCACTAAAAGCTTCAGTCTCATACAAAAGTTATACTTAAATCTGAACTGGTTCTCTAACAAATTAGTAAGATTGTCTCACCCAATGTTCAAGAATGGCCTTTTTCCCTTTATTCAGATTACAACCTCTCACTTTCAGTTATTTGAAAAGGAAATCATCACCCAAATATCACTATTTCTAAAACAACCATAGAAAATAGGTTGCAATTTCAATTTAATCCTCCAGAAACAACAGAAAAAATAATGCAACAAATATTGTGGTTAAACTCAAATATACTAATTGATAAAAAAACATTATTTTTCGAAAAGAAGTTTAAAAAAGGTATAATCTTTGTAAATGATATCATAGGTAGGACTGGTGGAGTTATGTCGCACATGCAGCTAACAAAAACATATGGAAATGTCTGCTCTACCCAAAATTACAACCAAATAATTGCAGCATTACCGCAAAAATGGGAGAGGAAAGTGGAAGGGGGAAAAAGTAAGGAACTTGTCTGTCGGCCCTGCATTAAAGAACATAATTGGTTAAAGAAAATTGTGATAAATAAAAAAGTATACTAGTTTCATTTAAGGACCAAAGGATTGACAGCCGTCCCAAATAGATTGCAAAATAGTTGGGAAGAGATTTTTGACGTACCGATTCCATGGCATAGTGTTTATGAACTGATGCGCAAAACGACGCTGGATTCAAAACTTAGAATTTTTCAATTTAAATTATTATATAAAATTCTTGCTACCAATAGAATGTTATTTATATGGGGGATCCAATCTTCCCAGCTCTGCAGATTTTCCTGTGAAGAGACAGAATCATTAGATCATTTGTTTTGGTACTGTCCATTTGTAGCTTGTTTTTGGACACAGGTCCAGGAATGGCTAAAGGATTGCAATATTTACCTGGAGCTAACCCTGCAGATAGCACTACTGGGTGATCTGAAAAGTCATAGTCAATCGATCAATAATATAATAATACTTTTAGCAAAAATATTTATTTTCAATTTACAATCTGTAGAAACAATGAGAATAGAAGGGTTCAGAACTTTTGTAAAACATCACAGTACAGTTGAAAAATATATGGCAAATAGAAATCCAATATGGATGGTGTTAAGAGATAGATGGGTGGTGTTGAATGGAGTTGAAGGATGGGACTAATAACAACTAACAACAACTAATAACAACACGATAACTAATGTAAAGCATACTGTGTCCATAATAAGTATATAGGCTATAGGTTGAGAGCTTTTGTGAAATAGCACAGTTAGAAAGATATGGCATATAGAAGCAAACCGGATGGACATCATGAAAATGATTGGAGAGGTTGAGGGTAGAGGAAGTTCATGAGTAAAAACAAACAAAATAGAATTATTGTAAAATTGACTGTGTCCATAAAATGTATATAGTATGTATAAGCTGGAAGTAGAGGCCTAAGCATTGTTGTTTAATCCAATTAGGAAAGGGGTGGTGGGGTTGGAAATTAATAAATGGAAATATATTTTTTTAAAGGATATGTATATATATGTATTTATATGTATGTATGTGTACAGTTGAGGTCGGAAGTTTACATACACTTAGGTTGGAGTCATTAAAACTCATTTTTCAACCACTCCACACATTTCTTGTTAACAAACTATAGTTTTGGCAAGTCGGTTAGGACATCTACTTTGTGCATGACACAAGTAATTTTTCCAACAATTGTTTACAGACAGATTATTTCACTTATAATTCACTGTATCACAATTCCAGTGGATCAGAGGTTTACATACACTAAGTTGACTGTGCCTTTAAACAGCTTGGAAAATTCCAGAAAATGATGTCATGGCTTTAGAAGCTTCTGATAGGCTAAATGACATCATTTGAGTCAATTGGAGGTGTACCTGTGGATGTATTTCAAGGCCTACCTTCAAACTCAGTGTCTCTTTGCTTGACATCATGGGAAAATCAAAAGAAATCAGCCAAGACCTCAGAAAAAAAAGTTGACCTCCACAAGTCTGGTTCATCCTTGGGAGCAATTTCCAAACACCTGAAGGTACCACGTTCATCTGTACAAACAATAGTACGCAAGTATAAACACCATGGGACCACGGAGCCGTCATACCGCTCAGGAAGGAGACGCGTTCTGTCTCCCAGAGATTAACATACTTTGGTGCGAAAAGTGCAAATCAATCGCAGAACAACAGCAAAGGACCTTGTGAAGATGCTGGAGGAAACAGGTACAAAAGTATCTATATCCACAGTAAAACGAGTATCTATATCGACATAACCTGAAAAGCCACTGCTCCAAAACCGCCATAAAAAAGCCAGACTATGGTTTGCAACTGCACATGGGGACAAAGATCGTACTTTTTGGAGAAATGTCCTCTGGTCTGATGAAACAAAAATAGAACTGTTTGGCCATAATGACCATTGTTATGTTTGGAGGAAAAAGGGGAAGGCTTGCAAGCCGAAGAACACCCACGGGGGTGGTAGCATCATGCTGTGGGGGTGCTTTGCTGCAGGGGGGACTGGTGCACTTCACAAAATAGATGGCATCATGAGGAAGGAAAATTATGTGGATATATTGAAGCAACATCTCAAGACATCAGTCAGGAAGTTAATGCTTGGTCGCAAATGGGTCTTCCAAATGGACAATAACCCCAAGCATACTTAAAGTTGTGGCTTAAGGACAACAAAGTCAAGGTATTGGAGTGGCCATCACAAAGCCCTGACCTCAATCCTATAGAAAATGTGTGGGCAGAACTGAAAAAGCGTGTGCGAGCAAGGAGGCCTACAAACCTGACTCAGTTACTCTGTCAGGAGGAATGGGCCAACATTCACCCAACTTATTGTGGGAAGCTTGTGGAAGGCTACCCAAAATGTTTGACCCAAGTTAAACAATTTAAAGGCAATGCTACCAAATACGAATTGAGTGTATGTAAACTTCTGACCCACTGGGAATGTGATGAAAGAAATAAAAGCTGAAATAAATCATTCTCTCTACTATTATTCTGACATTTCACATTCTTAAAATAAAGTGGTGATCCTAACTGACCTAAGACAGGGAATTTTTACTAGGATTAAATGTCAGGAATTGTGAAAAACTGAGTTTAAATGTATTTGGCTAAGGTGTATGTAAACTTCCGACTTCAACTATATATATTATATACAAGTGAGTTCATTCATATGAGGATGCATTTGAAGTGTTTTCTTCATTAGTATTAACAGACTATGATCCCCAAAAAAAAAACATAGGAAAGACAAAAGCAAAACTTTCAACAGAACATTTAAAATATGGCCAGATTTTTCTTTTTACAAAAGCAAAGAACATACACATTATGTTCCAATCCACTAGGTTACATGGTGATACTGCTTTAGACAATGATCAAATACACAGTACCATAGCCGCGGGAACTGGGTGTGCCGAGGGTGCTGCAGCACCCCCTGATAAATCACAATAAATAAATAAAATATATTACTAATACAAATAATATATATATATATATATATTTTTTGTTTGTTTGTTTGTTTCCACCAAATGAGTGCACTAGGCCTTTATTACTCCTGCATGAGCGGCGAAAAATACTCGCCAGCAGAGCAGGGAGAAAAATACCCACGGCCATGCACAGTACACACATTTCTGTACGCGAGCATTATGTACTTTCTAATGACTAGCGGTCACATTGATACTTTCAAACATTTTGCACATATTTTAAGATCATAAATGTACAGTATTACAGTAGTAGTGTATTGTAACCACAAATGATGATTCACTTTATTTAACTCATTTAAAAATAAAGTTTGCAATTTCATGTTTTTTTTTTACAAACCATTCATACATTACTTCAATAATTTTGCTATAATCCTTGGGATTTTACACAGAGAAATTATAAAAATGACCAAAAATGGTCTCTTCCTGAAATGACAATGGCAGAATGTGGAATCTGTGAGAGTCCGAACAGTGTGACAAAAACGTCCAATGAGGACAGTGTGACGACAGACTATCCACTCTGTACAGCATTCTGTGATGCAGAGGTCCCTACAGAAGGAGAGAAATTAACAGTTGATTTGGACTCCACACCAAAACATCAACCTTTATACCTTTCTTTTGTGAAGTAACTGACCTCATTTGATACAGCATTTCACAAACCTATTTTCTAGTTAACAGCTCCCTCTGCTGAACATAGTGGGGAGCACATTCAATGTTCCAATCCAATCATGTCATAATCCCTTTTTTACAGAGTAGGATATCTCAAGAAAGTAATGTACTTTACATAGAGGTAAATTCATGTCTAAGGCACCTAATATAGCTTAACAATTGATTGATTTGATTGATTGAAAAGCACAGCTGTTACCTGTCTGCAGAAGCATGGCCTTAATCCTACTCTCCTCCAGTGCTAGAAAGTCCATTGTCTTTCCACTTCCCTGTGTGTCACGTGGAGGCCCGCCCATCTCACAGGTCAGCACTTTGATTGGTCCCCTGCCTCCCTTCAGGTGGATCTGGATGCCGTTCTAAAATGGAAACAATTCAAGAAAGTGATAAGTTCAGCCAATCAACATCAGACTCAGTGGTTTAGAATTGTACCGATTCTGCAACTGTTTAGTTTGTGTCAGTGCGTCATGAATGAATAAGCATTCATGTACAGCTACAGAGTAGTGTCTTCATTAGGCATGAAACAGAAGAAAACTGTGGAAACAGGAGATGTACTATATTAGCTTGTCCAATAAGAAACGCCAGTTTTCATTGCACCACGTTTTGCTACTGTGTTCCCTAAAGAACACGACCCAGGTCTGTAAAGCAGGATTGAAATTGGCCCTCCAGGGCTTACTGTACCTCCTTGGGTGTGGGCACCTCCAGCTTGGTCTTCTCCGGGGCCTTAATGGCAACGACCGTCTGCTCCTGGAACACCTTGATACCACTGATGTCACTGTGGGTAACGTATGCTAATGTCCAGAGGCAGTTAAAGAGGATACAACAGCAGGACACACAAATTGTTTGTACTTTAGGACTGGTGACGGTTTCCACAGCTGTTCGGCCTCAATCGTAACGGCCTCAAACCTAACGTTATGTCCCAAAATGTTGGTTCATTCACAGCGTAAATCTGAGAGTGACTTTCATATTTTTTTAGACAGTAATTTATTACTATCATCAGTCTGCATTTCGCTACTTTTTGGATTGTGTCTCCTCATCTACTATTCTCAGTGTTGTCAGCTACTTAAAATACCAGTGTTTGTACCATGTAAAAGGTAGAGTATTAGTTTTACTACCTAACTTCCCCTCACGGTCCCTTCAATTTCCATTAAATCCCATTAGATTGGCTGCCCTGCCATTCGCAACCAATCAGAGCGTTTGGAAATGCGCATCTGGACACTGCACCCGCCCACTCAGATCAGAGTGTTATCGTTGTCTGTAGGGAGAAGACGCATGTTTCTGAGGACTTTTTATTGTCAACAGTAACACAAATGTCTGAATGTTGTGCATGCACCGAAATAAACAACAATAAAATTCCAAGTAATTCAGATGACCACAATCATATAAACATCCTCAGATAGAAACAGCAGTGTCTGTGTGTGTGTGGGTGTGGTGGTGACCAAGTGTTCAGTATGGGCCTCAACATCATGTTCTGATCGGACAGCACTATAGTGGACAGAACCAAACCACTCAGTTATAAGTATATAGCGGGTGAGGGCATTCACAGCTGAACAGACGGGTGAGGGCATACCAGCCAACCATTTTTACATGGTCCTTCTAACCGGAATTAGCGACCAATAGTTTTTACATGGTCCTTCTAGCCGGATTTAGCGACCAATAGTTTTTACATGGTCCTTCTAGCCGGATTTAGCGACCAATAGTTTTTTTTTTACAGTGTTTGTGTTCTAAAAGGATATTCTCTGTTGTCTAGGCTGTCCTTCATGTCAAAGAGCTGCTGTGCACAGGTCTTGATGAGCTCATCCAGACTTTCCACCGTCTTCAGGTTCTGCACCTCCCGCTGAAGCCTCTGCTTCGGCCCCACAAAACCATTGACTGGACACGGACCTCTGGGGAGGGAGAGGAGGATACCACACTCAGTTATAGAATACAGACAAACCCCTTGCAACCATGCAGGGTGACCTGGTCTTGGTATTTTATTAGTATCCCCATTAGCTGTTACGAAAGCAGCAGCTACTCTTCCTGGGGTCCACAGATAACATGACATAATACAGAACATTAATAGACAAGAACAGCTCAACAACAGGGATCACATTTTCATTAGGGCACGCCGTGGAAGATGTTTATAAACGTTTTGCAACAGAACACAAAAATGTGTCTTTAATTTTGGACAAGTTCAGGTGGTAGTCCCTCCCTATTTCAGTCTGTTTTCTTCCATTTGATGCCTAATGAATACGACCTTGCATGAACACCGTGTCAAAACAGACAATTAAGCACAGAAGGTGGGAGCACAGACTAGCGAAGCGCTTGTGTGTTGAAACTGTAGTACTCACATCCAATTGATCTTGTTGGCAGATTGTTTCTGAATGAGCTTGATCCCCTCCAGGTAGTTGGTGACGTCACAGACCCTCCGTTTGCGTGTGTTGAGGTTCTGTGCCACGAGGTTAAGGTCCATGACATCATGAGGGATGCCACGCAACAGCCTTAAGAACTTCTTAGTCAACAGAGCCAGGGACAGATCCTGGCGGACAAAGGGTGTCCAGTACCACTGGCTTGGGTTCAGTGGCACTGGCTACAGTAGGAGAAATGTACAATATTTCATCAAAGCCATGGTTGGTGGACCATTTTGATATACAGGGGAAACTGTTGAGCAGGAAAAACCCAGCAGCGTTGCAGTTCTTGACACACTCATACCGGTGCACTTTGACACCTACTACCATACCCTGTTCAAAGACACTTAAATATTTTGTCTTGCCATTCACCCTCTGAATGGCACACATAGACAATCCATGTCTCAACTGTCTCGAGGCTTAAAAGTCCTTCTTTAACCTGTCTCCCCTTCATCTACACTGATTGAAGTGGATTTAACAAGTGACATCAATAAGGGATCATAGCTTTCACCTGGATTCACCTGGTCACAGGTGTTCCCCTATGGGCACTGGTCAAAAGTAGTGCACTAAATAGTGGATAGGATGCCATTAGGGATGCAGCCAGCCATCTGGGGGCCCTAAGCGAGATTTATTGCCCCCACCCACGCGACAAAACATTTTAGTGGCCCCCCCTTGATGGCGGAGATAAAAAAAAATTAAGTGCATTTCCTGCAATTCTACACATTTTGCCATGGGGCACAGCAAAAAAAATAAAAAATTGTTTCCAGTTTTAAAGTGGTTGCTTAGCGGCCTGGGGCCCTAAGCAACCGCTTATGTCACTTATGCCTGGAGTCAGCCCTGGATGCAGGAATTGTCCAAGGCAAAGAAGTGTCAAAGGGTCATTCAATGCCAGGTTGATGTTGAATAATAATAAATAGATTTTCAGAAATGATGATCACCCATACCTTGTCTTCAACTAGTTCACGGGACCAAGAGTGAAGAGGGAAACAAAACAACAACAACCACTTAAGTGCTTTGTTGCAAACAGGATGTATGCTTTGAATATTTTGTATTCTGTACAGGCTTCCTTCTTTTCACTCTGTCATTTAGGTTAGTATTGTGGAGTAGCTACAATGTTGTTGATCCATCCTCAGTTCTCATATCACAACCATTAAACTCTGTAACTGTTTTAATCATCATTGGCCTCATAGTGAAATCCCTGAGCAGTTTCCTCCTTCTCCAGTAACTGAGTTTGGAAGGACGCCTGTATCTTTGTAGTGACTGGGTGTATTTATACACCATCCAAAGCCTAATGAATAACTACCATGATCAAAGAGACATATATATATATATATATATTTTTTTTACACATCTACCAATCGGTGCCCTTTTTTGTGAGGCATTGAAAAACCTCCCTTGTCTTTGTGGTTGAATCTGTGTTTGAAATTCACTACTCGATTGAGGGACCAAAACACAAAAGGATTAATGCTCATTATATTTCATACAGGCTAGAGTGCTGTTACCTTACCTAGATGCAGATGGTTCTGTCTCGGCCTGACTCTCGTCGTACTCTTCTTCAACATCGTCATTCTGTAAATAAAATACATGTAGACTGGGATAACTAAAAACAACGACTACAATGAATGCAATAAGAAAGCTGTCAATCAAAGTGATCCTGAGAGCATCCTCACGTGCTTAGCCGTAGCAACACCAACAGCATCATCATCATCATCATCCACGAATTCCTCCTCCTCAGAAGAGTCCTCGCCCCATGGGCTGATCAGACTTGGTGGTCCGTCGAGGTATGGTGGCATGGTAGGAATGGCATCATCGCTTATTCCGCGTGATGTTATGTGGCCTGTCAGAAAGTGGTCTTCACATATGATGTGCTCCTCCGTTGAATCCTCATTCTCTGTCTCTCGCAGGGCGGCAAGCCACACTGTGACTTGAGCGTGGTCATTAGGAAAATGTAAAAACCTCTTGGAAGGTCGATTCAGAAACGCTCCTTTATTATTGTCGCTTCGATTAGGACACGTGTAGCTCAGTTGGTAGAGCATGGCGCTTGCAACGCCAGGGTTGTGGGTTCGATTCCCACGGGGTGCCAGTATGAAAAATGTATGCACTCACTAACTGTAAGTCGCTCTGGATAAGAGCGTCTGCTAAATGACTGAAATGTAAAATGACACCCCTGGACCACGTATTTCACCATAGCCATATGTATGTGGCGACCACCAGCTACATTCGAACGTTGAGTAGCTAAATAAAATATCGCTTTTGTTTCTTTTTCATCTGTGGATGTTATATGGCGGTTGGCAACCAACTTTAAGGTGCATTACCGCCACCAACTGGACTGGAGTGTGGACCAGCGACAGTGAAGGTCTAAATCCTACCCAATAATCTTGTCTCCCTAAGGATGTATTGCAGTGTTTGTATAGGGTGAAACTAAATACATAATTAAATACTACATCCCCTGAAGATTTCCCCAGCAGTGCACTTAATCCTGGTTCTTCAACCCCATTACTCCTCAAATCTAATAACAATCGCTCCCTTTCTCTCACATATTTCTGGCACTGAAATATAACATGTTCCACTGTCTCCATCTCCTCCTGACATTGATCACACCTCCCAGTCGGATGTTTCCCCACCACTTTCAATGTACTATTTAGCCTTGTGTGTCCAAGTCTCAGCATTGTGACTACACTTTCCTCCCTTCTCTCTCGGCCTGAGGACCTCCCTGCCCCCACCTTTTCCTGGATCTTATACAAGTGTCTTCCAATACTCTCCCTGTTCCACAACTCTTGCCACTGATTTTTAACCACTGTTCTTATTAATCCCTTAGCTTCTGCTTTACTGATTGACAATTCCATCTCAACATTAGGATGTTTAAGAGTCTGCTTGGCAATAATATCCACTTCCTCATTCCCCTCTACTCCCACATGAGCTGGTACCCAGAGGAACATCACAAATACCCCCATCTGTTTCAACCTATACAAACACTGCAAAACCTCATACAATACATCCTGTCTGCTCTGAGACACACATTAATTTAAGCTCATCAGTGCTGCCCAGGTGTCAGAACAGATGACTACCCTGTCTGGCCACACCTCCTCCACCCACTCTGCAGCCAATAGTATGGCCAACCACTCCATTGTGTAAACAGATAAATGATCTGTTGCTCTTTTTGTCACTGCCACCTTAAACTCAGGAACACTAAAAGCTGCTCCTGTCCTGCCTGTTTTAGGGTCCTTAGATCCATCTGTGAATATATTTGTGTTCTTAAATGTTCACTTACAACTGAATCTACTCCTTCCTCAACATCTCTTACCCTCTCAAGCAACCCTATATCTATCACTGGTTGAGGGAGAAACCAAGGTGGGATAGCAGGAAGAACCACAGAGGGGCTAAACTCCCTCCCAAACAACCCCATCTCTCTCGCCATGCAGTTGCCTATCCACCCAAAGCTTGTATTCAGATTTTGTTCATGTTCCCAGCACTCTAGGAGCACCTTTTATGTAGGATGCGTAACCATTTGTCCTTGTAGATTTACCCAATATGTCATGGCTAGCTGTTGTCTTCTTAACTTTAACAGCATCTCTCCCAACTCTACCTGCATCGCTGCCACCGGGAGGTCCTGAGTGCTCCACAACATATTCTTAGGGCTTGGGCCTGGATAACATCTAGCTTTTATAAAGATGTCTGAGCTGCTGATCCATATGCTATACTTCCATACTCCATTGATGACCTTAACAGCCCTATATATATCATTTTCAACGCCATTCTATCTGCCCCCCACTCCATTCCTGACAAGCAATGCATCATTTTCAATATTTTCTTTCCTTTCACAACTACTCTGTTAATATGCTCCGCCCATGTAATACAAGTGTCAAACCAGACCCCCAGGAACCTAAACCCTCCCACCCTCTCCAGATTCCTTCAATACAACTTCCAAGTATATTTCCTCCCCAACCTTCCTTCTAGAAAAAAACACAGTCTGTGTTTTCTCAACTAAAAACTTTAAGCCCCACCTCAGGGACCACTGCTCTACTTCACTAATCGCTTCTTGAACTCTTCTGGCTGTATGGGTAATATTTCTCCCTCTCTTCCACAGCGCTCCATCATCTGCAAACAATGACCTCCCAATATCAGGTCTCACCTGAGAGAATACATCGTCAATCATAATGGAGAACAACAAAAGACTAATGACACTTCCCTGGGGGGTACCATTATCCACCTCATAGCTTTCTGACATAGAGCTCCCCACCCTCACTTGTATTATTCGCCCAAAAAGAAAATCCTTTATCCAGTTATAAACCCCTCTTCCAACCCCCATGTTATCCAGCTTGATAAGTAAGCCTTCCTTCCACATCATATCATAAGCCTTCTCTACACCATAGAAAACCGCTACCACCCCCTCCTTATTTGCCTGTGCCTTCCGTATTACTGACTCAAGGCACAGTACAGGATCCATCGTTCCCCTGCCTTTCCTAAACCCACTTTGATCTGGTAACATTAGTCCTCTACTCTCCAGAAAGTAAGTCAGCCTTTCCGTTATCATCCTTTCTATAACTTTCCATACGTGAGATTCACGTTTTTTATCTTCCTTGGACAGGAAAATGTGATTTTCAAAGCCGGAAGTTGGTATCACGTGATGATCTTCAGCCAATGAAATTGTTAGAAAAACAAAGGAAGGCGGGAATACGTCTTCCTCTTATGATTGTGTGAAATAGGTGTAGTTTACGATACTGCTTTGCCGCCACATGCAGGACTGGGGTGAATAACAGGGTTTCAGTTAGGGGAGGAGAAGCGAAGACAGCAGCGCAGCATCTTATTTTGCGTTCAGTAGGCTATGCGCGAGGGATGGAGACGAGCATCTGCGCAACGAGCACGGCGCACCTGAGCTTAATGTAACATTTATAGTCCACTATTTATAAAGACAAATTTAATATTTTAGACTACAAGAGAAATGAAAATTACATGAATTAAAAGCCAATTTTAACTGGAAAAGGAGAATAAAATAACCACTTACCCTATTTCTTATTTTAATTCAGTGGCACTTGGGCCTATTTGTTCTAGCCTTTACATTGAAATATGGTGCTGATATTGTCGCAAACCGTTGCCTAGAGCGCGAATGAGTCGAATCATTCCCCGCCCAAATGATGCTTGATTTGGGAAGTATTTGAGTCTAGACGGTGCTGTAGCGCAACTGACAGCCAGTAGTGGCCAGCAGCAAACAGCAGCAGCTACAGCGGTGGATGTAGGATCAGAGTCGGGGCGAATCGGGGATTCACTGTCAGAGGGGAAGGAGAGCAGAGGACTTTTTCAACGTTCACTGAATCATGGCTACTGAAACCGTGTCTCCCGCATGCACTGGATCCAGTTTGCTGCAACCCATAAGCGAAATCATCAATCTTCCTCTCGACCAGGTAAATAGGCTATTTCTTGTTAGTTCTACATACGCTTTTTTTTCAGTATTTCTATAATTCGTCGCATGTCCAAAATCACAGCAAAAACAACATTGTGCAGCCAATGGTCTTTGATTCCTCACTATCAAACAACGGAGATTGGTATTGCCATTTTCCCCTCATAGGAAATCATGAATTTGGATTGCTTTGATTCAATCGTTCAACACGTTGATTCCACATTGGCATAAGCGCACATCTCGCAATTATTTAATTAAATTAAAGGCCCCCTTTAAATGTCACATAAAAATGTAACGTTTAGTCGACAATGAATCATCAGCCATACTTTTAAATAGTCTCTTATTTGAACAAATGTGCCGCAGGTTTCTGTGTTCAGGAGATATAGCCTGTCTAGACTACAAGAACCCTAGATTTTGATTTACAGTTGACATTGTCCTCTTACTGATCTGGCTATAATGCAACCAGTTTTATTTTACGCACATAAGAGCTGTAGAATAGGCCTATGTCTATTGCTGCCAGTGCCAAATCAATCTGAATTTATCATTAAGCATGCTTTCAGTTATTACTATTGTCTATTCATTGCAATGGTTTTCACATAGGCCCATTCAGATTACCTGTATATGTAAATGCTATAGTCTCACTTGTCATTAGACTACATTGAAGAACACTCAGATGACATAGCCTACTCTGACCACAACAGCTTTACTTTACATGTGAAGCCCATCAAATGCAAATATTAAATCTGCAGCAACCACACTTACAATCTACTGTATACAAGATTTGCATCTGACAAAGATCAATGGAAAAGTCTCTGATAATATCCCACAAGTCTACTCACATTCATAACCAACCAAGTTTCTAGAATGCGAACACATTCTGACCGTTCTGATTGGTCCCAGAAACCGATGGGTTGGACGGAGCTGGCCTACATGACAACGTTATCAATTTTGATACTCTGATTGGTTAGAGGCGATCCAATCGCTGATTAATTTGTTTTGTACAACCCAAATCATTTTGAAGTTACACAAACTACTTCTACGATGGCAGTTTTTCAGAATTAATGTATCAACTGATAGAGCAGCGGAATTAAATTCAGGGTGAGTTGTCAGTCAACACTATAAAGAGAATAGGGTGCCATTTCGACACAACCAAAGAGGATGTACTGTAGAACTCCTGGTTTTTCCCATTCAGTCAAAACAAGAGACCAGATGTACTGTAGCGTGCAGTAAATTATCCCATAACATCTCCTACAGTATTCATGAAGGGAACGTGACCACAACAGTGAGTCGTCTGAACGAACGTCTGTTCCTCTTAACACTCCTCCAGAGGTAACAGGTGTGTTTGTTTGGTGACTTCACTGAGCGAGCTCTATAAATATTTCCATAGGTGTTTTCTCTTGCCAGTTTCACACTAAAGGGTAGACTCGGATCATGTGCTGGCTTGGGTATTTTCTATCCACATTGTCCTTCCCAGCACGGTTCCAGAAACTATGGTGGAAGCGTAACCAGGCCAGTCTAGTACAG